CACGATGACATCTATGATATTATTTGATTAAAATCGCATGAATCTGGTTAAAGAAAAAGATAATAGTAATAAACGACAACAACAACAATAATAATGTAATTGTAGTTACTAGCAAAATAGGAGATATAAAAGGTTTTTGGAAAGAAAGAAAAATGTTATCGTTACGGGAGGATCTGTTTTCTCGCTCAGCTAGGTCTTATATATGATCTTTTGACTAATGCTTATAACGGAACAAATTATTACCGATCATTGTCATTAAAAACCATCGAAAGTATATATACGTCCCTGCGTCATAGTGATAGGACCGCCCCTGTCGAAGAAGTAGGCGGTGTTCACCAACGATATCATTCGACTCTCTAACGTGGTATCGGAGATCACGGTTAGTGAATAAGCGACGTGCGATGGCGGCTAATCTAACGTAGCAATTCTTCTACTAAAATCTTCTACTTTATTTTCGATCAAGCCGTCCAGCGAGTACTTCATACGCCAATTTTTTCTTACCAATGATTTATTCGTTTATTTTTACAAACGATGAGATTTTCAATATGAAATAAAATATATATATATATCTTTGATGGAAAAAAGAACATTATTCTTTTAATTATGTTTGCATTAATAAACATTTTTGAAGGAATACTTAGTCACATAAATTTGTCGCACGTTTAAATAAACATCCGAATTATTATCGCTTTTATTTACTGTACATAGATACATTTAACATACTTGATATACTCCAATTCTATCGATATATTTTTTTTTCTTTTCGATATGAGTAAATCAAACATTAAACTATATAACTATAAAATAATACATTTCTTTCTATGTATTTATAAGTGTTAAAAAAATATATGCACGTTTGTTGCAACAAAGATAAGTGTACCTGACGAACAAACTAAAACTATTAATGTTTAATCCTATTTAATGCTGTATTATAAATCACGAACGAATGAATAATTTATGATACATATCGTATCGAAATTCGAATATACCGGTCACATTTAATCGGATTCTTTCGATGGACTTTCTTTGATTTTTTTCCTTTTGTCTTTTTGTACTTTTATTTTGCCGATAGCATGGAGAAATTACAATAATAATGTTATACATACATACATACATACATACATATATATATATATATATATATGTTGTTACCACATCTCGCTTCTTGGTTCTTCTTTTGTTGCAGAATCTATAGGGGCGAATGACGAATATAAGACACCTAATCTTAACGATTTGATTTATTTGTTTCAAATAAATATCTTCATTTAATCTAATCATAAACAAATTTAAAATCTTTCCTACAATGACAATTAAAGCCATTGATAGATGCGCTATATAGATTCTTCCTTTGTTTCTATTACAATGAATTTAAAAACAATTAAACGCGCACGATCCTTAAATGTGCGGTGAAGAATAATAAAAAGGTATTAAAGAACGTGCAGCTTTAAAAATAATATTTATTACGCGATCACGCATTTAACTTTATTTGTCTACTTAAAAAAAATCCTCGAAAAAGATTTTAATAATCATACAAATGTTTTCCCTGTTACGTTTCGAATTTGGCCTACTGATACATCGAATTTTTATTTTGCGCTTATTTGCGATCTAATTTGTGAATAATTTGTGAATGATTTGTGAATAAGCGAAAAGAAAAAAAATACAAACACATATCAATGACGAATAAGTTAACAGACGAAAGATTCAACGTGCCGTGAGAAAATATATCTCTTCTCAGAAATCATCTCAAGGAGATGTACCAGTGAACGGTCATTCTCTCTCTCTCTCTCTCTCTCTCTCTCTCTCTCTCTCTCTCTCTCTCTCCTCCTCCTCCTCCTTTTCTCTTCTATCTCTCTCGAATCGAACCGGCCTCGTGTCTCTGCCGCCTGTTAGTTGGCCAGGTCGGTGCCAGGGAGTCTACCGACGATAACCAGCTGCGCATCGCATCGGTAGACTGCTTGCTGCCTGCATCTCTCGGCACCCTGCGACCGGTTATACTTGACCCAGCGGTTAACAGAGGCTCTCGACGGCAAGACTGGCTTGCACCGCTACCGAAACGCGCCCACGTAAATACACGAACCGCACACCACTTGGATCTCCGCTTAATGTACTCGCGCTTACTTTTCTGCTTCTTTCTGCTCTTTCTCTTTTCATATCTTAGCCGTATCTTTCTTCATCCTCGTTACCATAGGTGCATATATTACAGCGCGCGCGTTGCACATATGTACGTATATATATATATATATATATATATATATATATATATATATATACACGCAGATACACGCACAGATACACGCACGTGTATATATATACAATTCTTTCCCACGTATCATCATATCTTTAAAGGACTCGACAATTCTTTCAAAATCAAAGTTTATTGACTTCCCCAAAAGCCTTGATCCTCCGTGAAAGAATTTAATACACGCGAAAAGAATATTTATAGTTATAGAATAATAATTATAGTTGTAGAGGAAAACCAGAGATGCTAAAAAAAGGAAACGTGTGATCGTCATACTTCATTAATAATTCATTAATATTGATCCAAAATAAATGTACATAGAGAGTATTGTATTCGTTCGTTCCTTTAAATCTTTCTTAAATCTACTTTTAACAAAACCTATGTAGAAATGAATTCTTATATCCTAGGATGAAAATAAATTGCATTTTCTCTATTTGCATTATTATGTATGAACAGATAATGTATAGACACAAACATATTTATCACAAGACTCAATATGTATGTATAATAAAGTACATTCCAAGCTACTTAACATATTTTTCCATAAATTTACGATGGAATTCACTTCTTAAAGAATCGTTAATAAATACATCATGTTTCTTTTTTGGTTCGGATCGCGCGCAATTTTTAAAAACAACATCGTCGTCCCATCTTCTCCTAACTTTCATGTCCGTTCTACCGCTTTGGGAGGAATAATTGAGTAAAGGATTTCCAGAAAGAATATTTTCCATTCGTATTCTTTCTTCTTCTTGCTTCTTTTCCATTTCCTGCGAGATATAATATAAAACATGGTGAAAAATATATATTTGTTATACGTATATATATATATATATATATATATATTAAATAAGAAGGTGCGCGCAATATTTACTTTTTTTGCCTGCTCGGCTGCCCTTTCCTTCTTGATCCTTTGTAATTCAGCTACAAGAGCTGCGGTATCGTCTTCTTCGCTCTCGGACTCAGATTCATCCTCGTCAAGGGGATCGTCTGCATCTAAGCTAGCTGCTGGAACTTGATCCATTTTTTGTCTTTTCGCATTAGTCGGGGCAGGCTCTCTCGCAGGTTCGATCATACGTCGACTAGAACTTTTATCCTTTTCTCTATCACGTTCTTCCAATTCTTTACGAAAATCACGACTACGAAGTTCTTCGATCGTACCTTGTCCATGTTCTCTGTAATATCATGTAAAACATTCTGATAGAAATGAAGTGACTAATGTTAAGGTTATGTCCGACAAATAATATGTATCTTCGGATTTTGACTAAACAATTTCTACGTATTCAAAGAAAAAGAAATAATGTAATATGTGTTTGCCGTAAGAGCTTTATGTTTACAAATTTACCTGTATTTTAATTTTGTATGCGATGGCAAATCTCTGCTGCTGTATTGTTTCGATATTGCGCTTAAATCTTTTTCACCTCTACCTTGGCCACCTCTTGCCGGATCGAACGTTGGCCTTGCAGCCGTTGTCATATTTTATCTTTAATATTATTTAATATACGAAAAGTAATGGACTAAAGTAAAATCGACACGATGACGACTTTACTTATAGCGTGCAAAATCGAAAACAAGATAATAAAACTGATCTCCGATCTATCTCCATAAGTGTCCTTATCCTTCCTTCTTATTGACGCACATAGATGGAGCTTTTTCGATATGTCGTAATTTAATATCGATGTTCAATTCGATTAATTGGCGCGCGAAATATTCAAATTCTGTTGCATTATCAATGGACGCAACAACTGCAAAATGATAATACCATAAAATATAGAAGAATAAAGTTTAATGATGATGGGTAATGATGTAAGGGTAAGGCCTTTCTTCATTTTTCACTAACATAAAAAACTATAGAGTGAACAGAACGTTTGTATTTTTATTCAATTTTTTTTTTGCGTTCAACCAGAAAAAGACCAAAAATGATAGTACAAATACAAATATTTTTAATCTTTAAGCTAGCCGTTTTATTATTCAATTGTGTGATATAACAGATTGACATTATAAACATATTTCTATAAGAATTGTCGATGTCAATACTGGACAGCATTTCGAACTTTCATACAGCAAAGATGTATACATGATATGATAAAACATTTTCGTTTTACATTGATGATTTTAATAAAAGAACAATTTGTACATTTACACATCACATCGCAACGACAATGTAAAAAAGCTATTAATTCTTTCCCGTCCTGATAGTTGTAAGCACTAGTATCATCCCATTGATCGAAATTAGATTCGTTCGCATAAAGCGGACGATATACTCCCGCCGATCGATCTTATTGTCCTGGAAAACTTAATTTTGCGAATTAGATATATCGATTGTATATTTTTATATGCAGTCTTTATAAAATAAGATAAGCTGTGTAGAATTCCCTTGCTAAATGGTGATAAACGCAAGCTCTCAGCGGGAATATGCAGCAGGCATAAGTGTCTTGCCGAAAAGCAATCTCAGGCTTTGATGAGGGCGGAAAGAGTTAATATCAGACGTATTATATATAATGGCAAAAATGTGGATATAATGTAAAATTAAAATTACAAATAATAATATTACTATTGAGAGCTCTGTAAAAAAAAAAAAAAAAAAAAAAAAAAAAGAAAAAAAAAAAAAATCCTTATTAATCCTATTCTCCAATTAGAAACATCCGAAGCGTCTTACAAAACACCTCTTTAATCTAATTTATTGGTATAAAATAAGATATGTGTATTAAATATTATTTGTAAAAGAATCTTTATGTATCATGGAAATAAACTCCGAAATCTATTTTGCTTCCACATTTTTTCAACATTTAAACTGTATTAACACAAATTTGAGATATAACTGTGTCGAACAATTCTTTTACAAATTTATATTCACAGATATTTTAATACCTAATATCAACAAAGTCTTGAAAATATCATTAAAAATCACAGAATTTGGAGCAAGTCTCCAAAAATTAATATTTATATATATTTGCTGAGACATTAAAATTCTTCATTCTCTTTTTTATACGACAACTATATACAAAAATTTAAAAAAGAATAATCCTGATAGTACAATAACAAAAAATAATGTAATCTATTAAAAATATGTCATATGATAAACACCTAAACAACTTTTTACAGGATCAAAATAATTTGTCAAATGAAACATGTTTCACAACTAAAGAGATAGTACTCATGATAAGTACATCTTAAATAAGTAGATGTATGCAAAATTTTGCGTTACGAGGATATGTCTAACAAGTAAGAAAACTCGCTTCTATGGACATATCAAAATTAAGAAATTTTTAATTAAAAAAGAAAAAAAAAAAATAATAAAGAAAGAAAGAAAAAAGAAAAGAAAAAAGAAACGATTCTCTTGCGGGATTTTAATGAACATTAGATATATCCTTCCTTTTCTATTATTTTCTTATATCAATACGAACGTAAACTTATTATATTAAAGATCTCATTTATACAATATGCATGCACACGAAATAAATTATACATGTACAAATCAATTTGTACGTTCAAGAAGTACAAACATATAAATCATAAATTTTTGCTCAATTAATGAATAAATGTTTTCCAGCGTGTTTCATAATCTATTTTACTATCGTTATTCATATATACTCGTATCTAACAATGTATGAGATATCTTATTTTAATCTTAATAAATAAAAGCTCTTATACATATGCACACGCACGCACGCGCGCGCGCGCACGTATGTGTGTCTGTGTATGTGTGTGCGTGTGCGTGTGTGTATATATATATATATTGTATATACGTATTACATATTATAATATATAAAGTTAGACTTTGCACTTTGGAAGTACATACTAATAGAAAATGGATAGTAAAAATTGATCCATTCTCTTTACACTTAAAGTGAATTTACAATTGACACTTAGTTAAATCGTTATGCACAAATATTACGTATATTAAAAAAGTGGCAGTGAGTGCATTGGTATAATAGTTATTAACTCAACAATTGTACGACAATGACACATTAATAAGATAATGATTGCATTTTATATATTTAACGAGTATGCTAATCTAAATGATAAGGACACAAATAAAATATTTAAATATAGCCACTTCTCTTTTCTAAAATGAGCTGATATAACTTATCATAGTCAGCCTTAAATCTCGTCAGAATAATACCACTAATTTTATTGTTTCATTGCAATATTGGTGCGCGATTCCTCGCACATATTGTTGTTTAAACATTTCTATCTAATGTAAAATTTAAAAAAAAGAATTTCTGTTGTATAAAAAGTGGCCAAGTTAATCATTAATAAATCATGATACATGTGTGTGTATGTGTGTGTGTGCGCGCGTATATTTCGAGCATAATGAAACTATGTGAATACTTATTGTATTATATTTAATATGATATATTCTTTCATATTATATATATATATATATATATATATATATATATATATATATATATATGTATATATATATGTATGTATAATATTATTTTATATAGATACTTTATAATGTGATTACAGAAAGGACTTCAAGAGACATAAGACATCAGTCTCATGGCTTAGGCTGTACTCGTGTGACTATTAGCACCACTAATGACACTAAAGAGAGCAGCACTGTTACGTTTAAAGCTTCCAACTTGTTCGTCCGACCATATAGGTTCACCCAATAACGATGACAAGCTTTGGCAAAGCTTTTGATAATTTTCGCGTAATACTTCCTGATATTCATGCTGATCGGGAGTAATTAACTTACTGTTGATCTGCAAGGCTGTATAACATATTTTTACAAATTCCCTGGAAAAAGAAGAAGAGAAAAAGAAAAAAAGAAAAAAAAAAAAAAAAAAAAAAAAAGAAAAAAAAAGAGAAAAACAATAACACATTATTATACATAATATATGATATGAGGAAAAAAAGATATTCTTATATAATAAAATTACCTAAAAACATCCTTTAACTCTTCAACTTTATCATCAGGATATTGCGGAGAAAGTGCTGGGTCTAAGAATGCAGAGGCATAAGCAAGTGGACCAGCATTTACTGTCACGCAAATGCTTCCTTGTAATCGCAATTGAAGTTTTTTTACATCAGTTGGAGCTATTAAAGCCACATCCTCTAATTCTTGAACGCGTTGTCTCATTTCATCTAAAGCTACTTCGATGGGGCCAAGTTCCATTATTCTCTTTTCGATCACTACTATACGTTTTTTTATGTACGGAAAGGAATATTGTGCTATAAATAAAAAGTAACGTTTTATATGCCTTACATATGATATATAACATGATTCATTGGCATTATTATGAACAAAAATGTATGCTCGTACTTGTTAAAATAGTCCTTCTCTTCCATTGATCTTCAGGATTTCCCCTCACCCGTCCATCTTTCGTAAATGGAGTTTCGAACATGAAACAAGATACATTGTGATTTTGTTCAAATTCCGTTTGACGAGTATCTAATTCTATTTTATCAAAGTACGGAGTTACATGAGTCACTTGAATGTATGCTATTTTTGAATCTAATTCGGCAACATTGACGGGTATGGAATCCATTATCATTTTGACATTTTCCGAACCAAATTTCTCTGAATATAAATGATGAAGACGTTCTGAAATTTCTGACAATGACGTCACTTTAGGTTCCTTATATATATACTCTTGGCCATTTTCCTCTTCGAAATATGCCTGGAATAATAAATAAATAAATAAATAAATAATCTATTGCAGTAAAATAAATTATTGGCAATGAGGAATAAGGGGATAAATGGTAAATCGATGACACTTACCGATCCAAAAAATGCAATTCTATAAAATCTCCCAAGAAGACGTTTGCCGGACTTGGTGACTTCGACAATTTTATTGCAAGCTTGTGCTAAATGCGTATAACAATTTGCTAAAGCCTCATAATTTCTTTTTTCTTCGTACATAGGAACTATTAAACGATACAAATGTCCGAGTAACTCAAAACGTTCTGCTTTTTCTAACATTTCAGCACAAAGCTCCAACTGCTCTAGCAATAAATATTCTGTGTAATGAATATCTTGAACGCCTGTAGAAAGGATAATAATATTATTTTCTATTAAATTATTCTTTTCTATTAATGCGTATAAAGATAGATAATACGTTTTTCAAATGTACGCTCTAAACTTTGAGACTGTTATTCTTATTGCGCATATAAATTGATATAGAATTTCTTTAATATACAATACAAACGTGTGCAAGAAGACATACAAATCTCACCAGCATCGAGCTTAAGACTACGCTCGTCTCTAGATATATTCACGGAAATATTGTCAAAAGCCTCTGCACCCCATCTATGAACTTTCTTCAATTTCAAATATTCTGCCATTAATGCTGCAATATGTAATTGGCAACAAGCCGCCTACGAAGGAGAATATGCTTATTAATCATGTATAGTTACTTCGTGTAAAGTGCGCGTGTGTGTGTATATTTGTATATACGCACGTATGTATATGAACAAAACATGAATGGAGTAACATAAATACCTCGGAATAATTTCCATCTCTCGCATGATTTCTAGCCATAGTTTCCAGCCAAGTATGCCTCAATTCGGGTGTACTGGCATAAGAATTGGCCAAACTATGTTGCAAATCAACAAGCATCTCAGGATCATTGTTATGTTCCCTCATTTGTGCTGTTGCCATTAAAACTGTTCGAATTCTTTTATTCAAATCTTTAACTTCAACTGGAAAACCAGTACCCTTCATTACTTTATCAGATGAAGCATAACTATTTATCAATGACAATGATTCTTGAAATCTTGAATTATTCAAGCCAATCACATTTCCAAGCATTTGTGAAACCGAGATTATTACCTGTAAAAGATAAATTGAAAGGGAACTGTATGATAAATGTTGTTAATTTGAAAAATATTTTTCAAACATAATATCACCTGTAAATGCACTCTCGTTAATCCTTTTCTACTGGTAAATTCAAAATTACTTCTCATAAGCAGATATAATAAAGCACATGATTCTTGTCTAATAGAACTAAGTTTACTATTACAACATCTTAATAATTCATAACATAATCGCCCGCAAAGCGCTGCATTTCCTGAAAATATGTATTGGAATATACATTAATTGTTATTCACAATTCTTATTAACATACGCGACGCACACCTTGAAATAGAGCAATAGAATAATTATTTAAAAATGCCCGAAATCCGGCAAACACGTGACGTAGCAATGTCTCCGATTGACCGACTTGAAGAAAGGATAGATAGATATTGAACAATTTTTGCATTATTGGATTTTCTCCATCATCTGCTAAAAGTGCGTCCTACACGAAAAGTAAAGAAAATATCATTGTTATTGTTAATTGATGCAACATTATTGATGCACGCTCACACAACAGACAGATATATGAATAGAATATTTATACCTTAAAATGAATACAAAAGAGGCCTAGACAGTCAAGTGCTATAAGACCAACTTCTGTAGCCATATTTGCCTCTAGTAAAGCCTGATACATTTTACCACTGTCGCTTTCAATGAGATTCTCTCTAGTAACAGTATTATGTGGTTGCAGTGTACCAGTAGTTGGACTTTCAGTCGTGAAATCTGGTGGTGCCATTCTGGCTGGCAATGTCATTGCCTTTACTGTACGTGGTTTCCCAGAATTATTTGTTATATTTGCAGCTATTTGTCTTTTACCAATATATTTAAAATGATGAAGACTTATTCTGAAGAAAGGAAAAAAGAGAAAACGATATTTATTAAATGATTCCTTGTAACAAAAAAAAAAAAAAGAAAAAAAAAGAAAAAAAAAGAAAAAAAAATGAGATCATTAAAGTGACTTACTCAATTACAGTAAAAAAACTCAATATCTCGGAATCGCTGCACTGTTGCCACCATGCAATAACTTGATGATCGCCTAAATATTTGATCACAAATAAAAAACAAAGCAATATATCCTTGACCTCGGAGGATTGTAATTTATCACATCTTGGTGAAGCCTGTGTAACGCTCAAAGAACGAGAATGCCTTTTTTTATCGCTTATACCATTTTCTACAGACTCGCGAATAATTGCTGTTTCTTGTGATATATTTGACTGTGAGGCACCTGACATTGTTGATGTATCTGATTCTATACTGGTACAAGAATAGCCATTCACCAAACCTTGTCCAGCAATAGCAGCAAAATATGTAGAATCTCGTAGATGTATAGACGCTCTGATTGGAGATTGCGTATCCAAATTTAACGTAAGTCTATAAATAATTAATTATTCTGTAATATCATCATCATCATCATCATCATCATCATCATCATCATCATCATCATAGTACAACAACGACAACAGTAACGATAATATTGTTGCAATTAATTAAATATGATTCTTCTGATCAGACCTGTGAATGGACTTGGGAGTGCCTGCTGTTATAGTACTATTAGCGATATCCTTAGTTGCCAAAAAGGAACTGCTAGTTGATATTCGATTTATCTCATTGTGTTTATTTTCTGTTTTAGAACTGTCGTGTACAGATTGTAAACGCATCAAATTTTCCAATACTATCTCTAACCATGGTATATAAATGGATGCTATCCTACTCAATTGTCCCTGCCATTAAAAAATATGCAAGTTTAATTGATAATAACAATAACAATAACAATATATCCAATTAGAAATTAGAACAAAGTAAACATTGCAATTAAAAACCTTATTTTGATATCTATCATCCAGTTCGTGCTTAGCCAAGAGATCTCTTAATGTAGTTATGGCTACTTTTCGAATTTGCATTATTTCATTGAGAGATATTTTGATTTCTTGGAGTAATAAGCCAACCAAAAAATGATGCTTACAAAAATCTTCTGATAAACAGTATTCATTCATCAAGTCTGTAAATAATATGAATAATTCAAATAAGGCTAATATATTATTATATATCCGTGCCATGCGCTTAATGAAGAACAATTTATAAACTTATTATAATACAGAAAACCTATCCACGCATAATGTAATGATTAATAAAACTATTCAATAAGAAAGAATCGTGACAAATATTTTAATCTACTTATTAATGGTGATGAAAAAGAGAAGAACTGTATATACTACTCCCACTCACTATGGCTACAATAAGAAACCACAATAAAGATGGGAGTACATGAATATTGTCTTAACATACCATTACATTCTGGCTCTTTCTCAGTATTTTCTAAGCAAGGAATAAAGTTATTATTTTACAAAATTTTAAAATATTCGTAAAATTTTACCCGAATCTCTAATCTCTTACCTCTAGGTGAAATACGAGACTGCATCATTGGTAAATTGAAAGATATATAATGCTCGTGAGAACAAATGATTTGAAGAAATGTAAATTTAAAATCATGTAGAGTGCGTGGATCTCCAGGAGAAAATTTATCCACGTATGAGTTGATCAAACGGAAAACGAAACCACGATCCATGAATGTGAGACAATGCTATTAAATAAATACATAATATATTGTCGATTTACAATTATTATCATTATTTAAAGTTTCTATTTAAACGATGTTTAAAGTACCTTTAACAATTGAGCAAGGCTTTTATTTAATTCGTGAGTTTCAACCGGCATTTCTTTGTACTTATTTATTATATATGGCATAATTACATCTAATAGATGTTTAATGCGTTCATGATACTCCTTCGAAAATCTTTCATTTCTATGCATCTGAAAAAAGGTTTGCAAATGTTAACATTAATTTTCATAATAATCTAAATATTGTATATACTTACTTACTGTCAAGTGCACATCAAATTATTAACTTACTTTTATTCTACCAGTAGTAAGTAGATATTGTGCCATACTTTTAATCATTATCTCAAAGAAGAAATTAGAATGACGCATGAATTTATTAATTACCAAGAAATCCGTATTGTTTGGTTGTAATAATATTGGCAGATATTTCCCTAATTGTTCATGAACAGTCATATTGCAGGTTGCTTGTGATGGCGACAGAAAAACAAACTATAGAAAACATTTTATATATAAATATATATGTATATATAAAACACGTATGGAATGCTAAATTTGTGGAATCAAGATTAGTTTACTTTTTTACCTTGATATAAGCCTGAAGTATTTCTTTTCGACCAGCTTCGTGTATCATGTTTATAATGTGTATTAGTACTCTAATAATATACAATCCTACTTCTTCGCCGATATTATACGTCAATAATGTGAACAATTGATTTAATATAGTAGGAAGAAAAGTAATCGCTGTGACCAACTGTATTGCATGCGCTGCTTTCAATATTTTACACGTTTCTGTATCCGAAGGCATTACAGATGGCCTAGTATCCAGAATTCGTTCGGCATGAGCAAAGAGATTGTATAAATGAGGATCGCGAGTAAATACCGTTGATATTAACTGAAAAGCTACTGTAAATATTGGTCTTTGTGAATCAATCCATGTAATGTCTGGGCCAGCATTCTGAAATTAAATAAATCAATATTTATTTAACCACATACAAAATATTCCTGATATTTGTATTTTCGTAAAAAGATAAATCAGCAAGCAATTAATAAATTTGTTATTTATACTTAACACACAATTAGTTTCATGCAATTTGGAATGCAGTGATAGTCCATTAAAGTGATCAAAAATTGATGTGATGTGTGTCTCTCTCTTTGTGTGTGTGTGTGTGTGTGTGTGTGCGCGCGCGCGCGCATCAGATATATAATCTTTATTAAAATATTGACTCACTTATCGGATGACTGATTAAAATGATGAAATAGTCAAAACACACAATGGCCATGCTTGTATTCAAAACCTCTGTGCACTTTGCAAGCACTGCTAATAATAAGATAAGGCTTTCTTCCACAAATCATGATATTCCATTGTTAAATGTAATAAAATTTCATCTACTATGACTTTTCTATAGAATTTAAACCTCCATATAATGCAAGATTTTCATAATTATTTTTATAATTATGATAAAGCGAATTGCAAATGAAAGCCACATCTTGAAACATAACAAGTATTAGAAGTTAAAATCAATAATTTGATCTTACTCTTACCCCTTTCCCTAGACCAAGGGGTTGAATAGAAAGATATCCTTGTGGTAAATGCGTTGCAACAGGTAGAACTTGAACATTTACATCCATATCTACATTGAGTCTGCATAGATTACATAGGTTTTAGGATTAGGTATTTTTTATTATAGAGCAGACGTATATACAAAATTGTATGCTTACCTTCCTTTATATAACAATGGAGCCCAAGCATAACCAACGCAATTTTCAATCCCATTTTCCTTTTTCTTATTCATATCACAGCTTATATGATAAAATGAAAAAAGCAAGTGATGTTTTGAATGAAGTTTTGTTGGTAATCTTATCTTAATTTCTTCGTACCAAGATGGTATAGCATTATGATGTAACACTGCGCAAGACGCTCGTACACACAACAATGGTGTACCTGGACGGCCATAGATGCACTATACATATATATAAAGGAAAAATGAGAAATATATAGAAGCTATAGAGAAATGTATAAATAAATAATATAGACAAAAAAAAAAAAAAAAAGAAAGAGAAAAGAAAAAGTAATAAGCTTGTCTTGTATATACTCTTAAAGGCTCCACATTTTCTCCATCATCATCTCGTAATTCAATGATACACGCAATATTTCTAGCTCTTGTAAATATCTTTTGAGTATCGAAAGATAAAGTTTGTGGATAAACATAAAGATGATTGACATATGTAGTATAGGGATGAACATCTTTTTCAGATGTGCTTTCAAATTCTGCAATTTCAAGAGTTGGATCGTTTACAGGTGGAATGGGAAATGATTTCAAGGGAGTCAAAGATGTCGACAATGTATCTGAAAATATAGAAACGTTAAATTTAAACGGCACATTTGAATGTGTGTGTGTGTGTGTGTGTGTGTGTGTGTATTTTACTTATACGAAAAAAGGCATACTTTCTGGTATCTCAATGATGGGTTCAATTTTTATTTTCAACCATCCAGGTATAACGGTTAATTTGCTCAGTTTTTCAGGTCTGCAAAGAAAAAAAAAAAAAAAAAAAAAAAAAAAAAAGGAATAAGAAAAGAAAATCTATATAACGAACGTATACACTTACTTTCTATACTCTGAAAGCAATTTCAATAACTCTTCATCTTTGATTTTATTCCCTTCCTGTCTATATATCGCTGGAAAGTCTGGAGAAGTATCCAACTCGTTACTATATAGTCTAAATAAAGGTCTGGCGGCCCAAGCAAATGGCATTCTATAATTTCCTAATCTAAAAAATAAACATTAAATAGTTATAAACTATATATTTAAGATAATGGCATAATAATCAAAAAAATACCTTTGGCAACATGCTCTAACTTGTTTGTGTACTTTTAATCCTAATCTTGGATCTTTAGTCGTTCTTACATATGGCTCAGAAGTTTGACATATATTCCCTTGTAATATCTTGTCTATTCTTACCACAAGAAATATATCAGGATGGGGATTACTAACGTGAAATATAGCCTAGAAGGAAATAGAATAAATAAATATATACATATACACACGCGCATAATAAAGCAACTGTTGAAATAAATACCTGCTTTGGATGTTTTATCCAATCCAATGGTACACTTTTCAATTCTTCAGGTAAACTTATATTTTCATTAGATTCCGTCATAATGCTAGTAGGACTTAATTCCTTTATCATTCCTTGTACAATTTCATGGTTGACGTCGAAATAAAAATTTTCCGTGAGTTTCCTGCCGTGCTTTGCATCAAAAAGACATAAAGTTGTTTGATACGGTTCAACTTGGCAAAGAGTTTCTTTTTCATCAATTGGAGCTTGCAATCTAAACTTAAGAGTTTCACACTTAATAAAAATTCTATGCCCAAATTGCTCCTTATACGGATCAATATTATGTTCAGTAGAATTTCCTCCTGTAGGTGTTTTTACACGTGACATGTTGGAATATAGACTAAACAAAGGTTTTCTATATTCCCGTCTAGCCAATGCTATACTTGTGTCAGTTTCCCTGGAGTATTTAATTAATTGTGGATTCATACTCTGTTCCAAACCTTTCAACGTTCCATATACCTGTAAACGTTTGTTCATGTAATAATAAAGACACGATAAATATTTTTATACGCACGACATACGTATAAGTCCATTCTCATGCGATTAAAACAACTGGAGCATTTAGATTTTTATAGTCAAAACGATTACCTGCATTGGTTGAGGAGAAGGAGGAGGAGTGTTACATGTTCTCTCTAAAGATGCAGCACGTTTCTCCTCTTGTTGTTTGTAATGTTGCAATACAGAATTCAACTTTGATAACCAATCTTGCATATCTGTTTCATTATCGGCCGCTAATGTATAAGACTTGTGAGTTCCTGTCATTCTTAATTCAAAACAGTACCTTCCACGTTTTGGATTTCTAACAACTTCTGTACAAAAGTCCATTACTATTGCCAACTTAGCTTCGCCCTTTTTCTCATCTTTGAAAAATTCTAAAATGTATGTGCCATCGACCTCCTGTCTTAAATGGCAAAAACGTCTTTTAAAAGATTTTGAGCCGATATGAGCAAACATACGATCGGAGCTTCCAATTTCAGGTCCTTTCATTAAATAGCCCTCCTTCGTAATCCCATTATTTTTGATTAAATCCTAAAAAAGGATGTTTCTTAAAATGTCTCATAAGATAAAACATTTTCATCGTTCTCCTTGTAATTACCTCGTCGACTTGATCCACTTCCGTATCAATTTCATATACTTCATCCTTGAGATCATCCGCTTTTGTTATTCTATAAAATACAAACGTGTGTGTGTGTGTGTGTGTGTGTGTGTGTGCGCGCGTGCGTGCGTGTGTATATAGATGTACATGTACACATGCACATACATGTGTATATGTATATGTAACTCTTGAAAAGTGAAAAGTTTATAATCTTTGATAGATTGCATTGAAGACATACTTGGGTAAATCGAGATAACTTCCGTTGTAGGCAGAATATTTGTAATGTATCAAATTCCAATTGGAGGTGTAACTTCGTAAACATTCTTTGGTCAGGAGACTTCCGCCTTCCTCGTCATTATCCGAAATATATTGTGCTGTAGGCACAATAGCGCGATAACGCCTCGGTAGGACAACTTGCTGCATAAAAAAGAAGTTAATTTAAAGATGAACAAATATATATATAATATATACTGTATGAAACTGTTTGTTATGCAGAAAAATAAATATAAAATATAATGATATTTTGAAGAATAGTCGAGGTTAAAAATTTCTAATTATCGCTATTTATTATCTCTCTACATAAAGGATGCAGGATTCAGATAAGAACGAAGATAAGAGTTAACAATGAGTTAACAAACTCACAGAAACATCGTCCGGCGGATAAAGCAATAATTCTCTTTGCGGATCATTCTGCAATAATGTTTTATTCTTTAACACGAAGCTCTCAAAATCTATTGGGTCAACTAAATGTGGTTTACTCTGAAATAAAAATGAGATAGATATAATTGATAGATTGAACGGAGAAATGAATAGTACATAAAAGTGTTTAAAATCAAATTATCTCTTAAGAATCTTCTCTTCTGTTTGTAATCAATGTATTCACATTGTTTAGAACTAAACGCGTTATCTGGCGTGATTCAGATACCCATACGCTTTATAGATTAAAAATTAATTTTTCTCTTGCAGATAATAGAATCGATCGATCGGTTATGTTGTCAAGTGCAATCAAGATTAAATAAATAATTGAAGAATTCAATTATCAACACTTTAGATCTTTTTAAATAAATTCCATCGACATAGAGGATATGACGGTAGAAGGGAAGAAAATCTTAAATTTAGGAATTATTGCATAATTGTTGAAAATCGTAGGATATCTGAAAATAGATAGGCGTGATCGGGCGCGCAAGTATCGGTTCAAGAACGTCAGTTAGCCCCTACCTGTACGGTACTTTCGCGTACGACCTGAGAAACCGTTTCTCGTAATTGTGCGGCCATACCCGGCTTTCCCAGGCCGCGTGTGAATTTCCTTTCGCTCATTTTCTACGTTGACACATCGCTCCCATCATCTCCTTTCAAGAAAAACACTCGAAATCATCACCAAATCTTGGAAACCTCCTTATGTACATTCGACTGATACATAGTAATTTATCATGGCAGTGCATGGTAACTAGATTTAGGGATAATATTTTTACAATATGGAGGACAAAATTACCGTAGGTTTTTCGGAAGAAGAAAAAAAAAAAAAAAAAAAAAAAAACAGAGAATAAAGGAAACAAAATCCCAACCAACCAGTTTTTTCCCAGTATTATTTTCGAATGGCGCGTATCGGCTTTTCTAAATTACATTTGCGTGTTATTTCTTTTTTACGTGTTAAGCGCAGATAATATCATTTACTATATATCACATAAATCAAAATAATCTTTCTAGATTCTGGTCAAGGACAAGAAGCAAAAAAAGAAAAACATTCGATACGATCGACCAATCAAATTATCGTGTTCCTAAAAACGCCAAAAACTAATTGAAATATTTGAAATTGTGTTAATAAATTTTTAAAGATATTCGCGCACAAACGAACGTCACATACGTGTGAAACGTTCATTTTCGGTTAGGGAGAGAAAAAAAGCACCTTTTATTATCCTTCATTATACAAATAATTATAATTGATTATCCTTGTCTATTCCTTGAAAAGGATCGTCCATGATCCTACGTTTATAAAAGTAAAAATCTTCTTCAACAAGATCTATGATATTATCACAAAAAGAAAGTAAAAAAGTAAGAATAGGTTGTATTTTCAAATCGACTAAACGCATTGGTAATTATTTCATCGACGCAAAATGGCATAGATTTCAAATATATCTCGACTCTGTTTATACAAAAATATAATTTCAATTAACAGTCTGTTCATTATATTAATCATCGAGAGAGAGAGAGAGAGAGAGAGAGAGAGAGAGAGAGAGAGCAAGGCTTGTGCTTATGTAGTTAAATTCGTAATGGTATAAATCATTGCTATGATAAATAATGGAACTCCTCATTATCTGGATTCTGGCTTTGAGAATGGCTGAAGGGAACCAGGTTGAACCCACGAAAGTCCTAACGCTCGATTCTCTTCTACTCCCTGTATTGAACCAATCAGACGAATAATTTGTAGAATAATTTTAGATTTTATAAAGAGTGCCTAAAGAAATTTACCTTTGTTTCGTATATTTGTTGCTTAACGGGATCATGCAATTCTGGTATGTACGGAGTGAACGTGATATAATGCGGATCCTCGAATGCCGGTGAATTATATACTTGATTCAAACTTTCCCTCACGCATTCTTTGGCTCGTTCTCGAAACTGATCAAAATTGTTTTGCAATCTGCAAATATACAAAATTGTCATTTTAACGCGTAATTTATAGATACGCAAGAGATCTATACCTATCAAATTTGCAGCCAATAATCTTCCTATGGTAAAAAATGGTAACAAGTATCTACTCACAAAATGGATGCTTCTTGATTTATAGGCGTCATTCTTGTATCTACTTTAGTAAGTATTTTTGTTATGTACTGTATCAATTGCCATACCCTATTATTTCTTTTCCATTCGACGAAAGCCCAAGTTGTACATAATTCTCCTGTCTCTGGATTTATAAGCGGATGGAAGACATTGGTTTGAAATACAACTTTCTAAAATGCAAATGCTACGATGAAATCTACCAAAATTAAAAAATAAACCTTTGGAATGATTGGAACTCTTACGGGACATCCACCGTCTGGAAAGTTTTCAGGCAACGTGAGAGTAAATCTAAAGACTCCACCTTGATAAATCCCTTGTCGAATGAATTGAACTCCAAACCAAACTGGTATCAAGAATATATGCCTATATTACTATGTGTCTGCTAATGTTAAACAATGAGAAACCTTATAAACGAGTTCAATTGACAAACATCGTTTTGATATAGTTACATTGAGATTGTACAAACTGTTATCAGGACGAGCAAGACCTATGAAATGTATTTCAACTATCAACATTACATAATGATTCGATTAAAAAGTTACAGGGAATGCATACTGTAAGCACAAGATACAGAATATGCTTTGCCTTTACATATACAGTGGAAATGCTATTAAGATACAACAATGATGTTTAAATGGTGTAAATTGTATTACATACCAAAAGAATTCTGTGCCGATGGTATGACATAAATTCCTTTTAAATCTTGGATTCGCAGTATGTTGCTACAATTGAATAAATAAATAAACACGAGTACATGTACATGCACATGATATACATACATATATATATATATATATATATACCATGTACACACACACACACACACACACACACACACACACACATATATATATATATATGTACAGCTTTTAATCAGATCTCATTTAAAGCTACTCACTATTCCGAAAGAATATTATACTCCTGTAAGAAAACTGCATAATCTTTGCTGGTTTGAGAGATATTCGGTCTATCGATCATTTTTACTGACATGCTCAATTGGGAGTCCCCGTTGACGTTCGTTGGCAAAAGCTTTCTAAATGAACCCTGTCTCTTAAAATTCTCATCTTTATCGTTATCTCCCTAGAATGTACATGATAAAACGAGTTTAACGAGTAGTCACGTTAACGGAATGCCTTGTTTTTTTTTGAATCGCATCATTGAAAACGTACTTTGATCGTTGACATGACGGATCGTCTGCGAGTGGATTTACAATTTTATTCTCTGATATGATTAACCATTTTAATTAACGTAAAATCAACGTCACAAAATAAATTCTCTCTATTAGAATACACTGGACGGCTTCATATTCGTATACACAACTGCGAAATGCGAATCATACTCTTAGAGATGGAGGGATCGTCGATCTTGTAGATACCTCCTAAGATATTAGAGGTTAAGATATATTAAGCTCTCCGGCAGATTTCTACGTTTTTAATATCAACGTTCGATATCGTCGATAGCGTCGGTCTAATACCGATCGCGATAGAAAAAGAAAAAAAAAGAAAGTAAAAGATATTCAATTTGACAAGTTAATTTTTAATAGGCGTCTTTAATCGCCTATTTAATATTTCCAATAGATATAAGTTTCTAAATGCAACAATAATTAGGTCGATGATACGCCTTGTTTACAATTAAAGATAATTGAGATCTTATCGAAATGCAACTGATATGGATTGCCCGAGTCTAACGAGCACACGGAGCTTGCTGTAGATCCAAATTTATCTTAAATACATGTATTTATTAAGAGTATCGATTGTGAATTCCGCGCTACCTTACCATTCGTTATTGTTTTGTTGTACGTACTAGTTCGAGATAACGTCTTATCTTTTTCAGTATTTCATTTCATTTTGTCCTAACGTATACATGTATGTATCTATATAAATATATACGTTTAAATGTAATAATAAAACTAATGATTTAATTTTAATAGCGGTTGACGATGTTTGTTGGAGTACCGATATAAAGTTTCCTTGAATCACCACTTCCATTGCGTTATGAGAACGTTCTTATTTCTCGGTGCTACTATATTCGTGCGCATATAATTAATACAAATTATTATATAGTGTTAACTTAATCACAATTTGTTATTAAGAGCCATGGAGAATACGGGCTTGAGTCCATTGTTAATAACGAAATTAAGGATTAAGGATACTATAAATAAAATAAAGAATAAATCGCCACAATTGCAGGAAGTTCTTAGACAGGTTAGAAAATGATGTACAACATATTATTTAATATATTTTGACATACGATTGATTTTGATCGGTACCAACGATATGTTAAAAGAGAAAAAGAAACTTTTTTAATCTTAATCTTTTCGTACAGAGATGTCGTCGAAGAATGAAGGAAAGAAGAAAAGAAATATTTAACGTGAGAAGACTCGGCCTCGGGGATACATCTGAAAAGGTAAAAAGAAAAATATAAACGAACGAAAAAAATGAATGATTTATCAGAAACTAATTGATTCTATCCTATTGATAAATGATCTATCGTTTATAACGATTAGCCGGAAGAAGATTTTCAATTGGATAGAGAAATGGACGAGGAAGAAGGTATAATAAATCCATCGTTGATAGATATAATAACGTGTATGAGTAACATTTATAACGTTATGGAGTAATATTTTTTTTCTTTTATTAACCGCAGAGAACTGGATATACGAAGAATACGAGCGTATGCTGCAGGACGAAATCGAGTGGATAGAGTCGCTTGTTTATGACGATAGGAAAAAATTAATTTGTCCTGTATGCCAGACCGGTACCATGATAGAAATATCAGAGTCCGTATATTGCAAGGATTGCGGATTCTGGCCGATAAATTGTAACGATATTCGAACTCTTGGAAATTTAATCGATAATAGCGTTAATAATCATTCCCAACATTGTACCGCAGTACCTGGTTTTACAATGGTCAGCGAAAACAAAGGTTCCGTACTGTATATGACGTGCGAAGAATGTTCATTCTTAACGTGCGTTATATAATATCCTTGCAAAGAGTAATTACTTTGCGAATATTTCAGACGTTTATTAGGCCTCATTGTTAAACTTAATTTATTACAATTCGTGCGTATAATTTTTAATTTGTAAATTAATTTACCGACGCGCTATGCGGTACGATCGTGTTTTATCGCGATATAAATTCTGACATTTTGATGAAAAGAATTAGATATAAAGTTATTCTAACCTTATTTATTTAGTTGAAAATCAATGCCAAGAGAGATAACATTATCTTATTACTAAATTGTAAGTGTATCCATCCGTTCAAGCAGTAAGTAAACGTGTGCCATCAACAGTATTTATTTTCTAACGTGAATAATTGTAACAAATATACAAGGTACAATATCGTTATCCCATTTTATCAAGATTAACATTTGTTTTAATAATAACGTTATAATATAATTGTCACGTGAACATGATAGATATTGTATGTACAAAATAAACAAACATTCCTTTGCTGTTTCGCGCGCTCTTCTTGCAAATACCTATGTGTATATATACATGTACACATACATGCGTATGCATATGTATATATATAATATATATATATATATATGTATATATAAACGCGTCATAAGTTTATAGGTAAAAAGAAAAAGAAAAAAGACATTCGTACGTCGTCGTATAGCTTATAAAAAAAAGTAATAAGAATTTTATGAAAGCAGTTAAACGATCGAAACAAATGATGTATGTATATGGTTGCACAACGAGTTCCGAAAAAATCAACATTTTCGAGAAATTTTATTTTTTCCATGATCGTACTTCTTCTTCCGTTATGTGTTTATACACATATGTACATACGCACAAAATAAGGACCACGTTCATAGATGAATTTTCTTCATGGACAATACATACATACGTACGTGCAATCGTACAAAAAATGAGAATACTCGTAATATCCAGAGTAGTACTTTAGCGTAGCTAAGCTCTAATAATTGATACTTATATGCGATTTGTACATGTTCGATACATAAAGTTACATATTAATATATATTACTCTGTAACACACACACACACACACACACACACACACACACACACATATATATATATATATTATATATATATATGTGTATGTGTGTGTGTGTATACGCATATAGGTATGATGTGTTATTTTCTTTTTTGTTTTTCTTCTTTATGCGTAATAGTAGTTAGCTCGCAAAGTGAAAATCTAATATAACACGGATATTAATAATATTAATGTTTGATAAAATTTATAGAGGCACACGGTTAGAGGCATAACTCGAATTTATATACTCTCTTCTCTTAATATGGCAAAAGCTTCGCGTTTAAAGCGACTGTTAATTGTATTACTTTATTATTAACAGTCTCTTGTAATATAACATTAACATTATATGGCACCTATTTATGGAAATGATTGAAAACTTGTTAGAATATCGATACAAGAAACTTTATGTTTGCAAAGATCTTAGATAATATAATGTACGTAAGTAAATAATTATTTGGCATAGCTACACGTCTACGTGGATCGGTCTCGTTCCTTTGTATTGAACATTGAGGAGGGCCGCAAATATTTCCATGTCATTTTGATTAATGGAAAAGTACGTCGTATATTATCTCGCTTTCTTTTTTTTTTCCTTTCCTTTATATTTTTAAGTTAGTACGACATAATGAAAGATCAGCCACGCGTTAAATAAATTCTCGGACAATGCGACAGGGTGCACTCGAAATGCCTTTAAAATGACCAATATAGCGTCGTTAAAAATGACAAATGTCAAAGTGTACATTGGGAGACTCATATATTTAACTATTTTTTCATTGCAAATGAATTCAAACAAAGTGTTTGCCGCAATACGTTTTTTTAGATGACTATACGACGATATATAAAGGGCGTCGTGTGTCGTCATTTAAAGGGAGAAAGAAAAAAATGTATGCACCGATGCAGTATGTACGATATCAGATTATAATCTACGTGCGACTAATATTTTAAGGCAAGTTGAAGATTGTGAGCGAGATTGCATTTGTATGCAAGATCGTAATCTCCTCGTACGCGATATACCGAAGGCGTTTAAGAGAAATAGAAATTTATACAGATCATAAGATTCCAAACATTACCTATCATATCTCGCGCGAGCTTTATGATACGTTTGATAATTACATAGAAAAAACTCTTCTTTATTATTATTACAAAAGAACAACACTTAGCCCCATTTAGATGGGTTATATCCATAATTTACTTGGCTCAAAAATCAATTTATTTTTATTAAACACACTAAAGTTTAAATTGATCGTATCATATGAAATGGCCGGTGGCATAATGGTATTCCATCGACCATTGCGTATAATTACACGAATGCACGAATACATTTGTGAATGATGTTTTTGAGAATTTACAGTGTAATCGGGTTAGTACGTTATTAAAGATATCACAGAATTGATCGAGTTTAAATGGTCACTGTTGGATACCAGTGTCGTTGTTCGCGTCTAAAATATATCTGCATGGAATAATAATTATTAAACGTTGTTAAGAAATGATGCAGAAAATGCCCGTGAAAGATCCTCATCGCACATTTTCCTATCTACCGAATGAAGAATATATATATATATATATATATATATATATGTGTGTGTGTGTGTGTGTGTGTGTTCGTATTTACTATTAAGAGGGAGAGGCAAAGTCAATGCGAAAGAAGGCGAAGTGGGATTTCCCGAATCGATAAGTTTTTCTTTTTTTCGAGCGATCCCCATCGATCGATCGAATCTTCTTCAATGACATTTCTTTTTTGCTATTAAAGGACTTTAATGAAAGATCCTGAATGTACGAGTTTGTGCTTTGACAAAAATATATGACTTATATCACATATTTGAATATGTTCTTCGATTATTAACGGCCTTACTGGGTAAGGTAACTTTAGATTTCTACATGGCGTCTCAATATATTTCGCGCGTTTTCTTTTCCAATAGATCTCCGTTCAGAACTCGATCGTCACTGTATGGATCGCCGTCGTTCCGTTCTATTAACCGCCGCGAGTGCTTCCTCGGGCAGACGACCAGGATCTGCCAAAATATCAGTGGCAGTACACAGATACCTTAGGGAGTTGAGAACAGCTGTGAAAGTCATAAATATAAATATAAACGTAATAGATTTGGTGCGCATTTAAGAGTCGCAAAACCACAAACCTGGCCTGAGATCTACGAGCGAGCAATGCTGCTCGACCCATAATATTGTACTTCTGTAGAGGTCCTCGATACTCGCCGTTGATACCGAAGTATTGAAGGATAGCATTAGGGGTTCAAGCAAAATGCTAAACTGTTAAGAGAGAAAATGTTAAGAAAAATATTATCAGAAGAATTATTATAAGAAGAGTTATTTCAAGGATACGATCCAAAATTTCCAATTTTCTCGAGTACGGGTGCGAACGTATTCATCGAACATTTCCTTCATCTTATTGGTTCTGTGTCTCGAGACTGGTGCACCCGTTGCAGGAAGCATGGATTGACAATTACTGCAAGAGCATCGTGCGAGTTAATATAAAATAGAAGAAAAAGGTACAATTTATTTTTCAAGTAGTTCATAAAGGTATGCGTGAATTTGTTGGTCGAACAGATAAAGAAAATTTTTACCTGATAGAAGTATTAAGGCACTCGATCTGATGTCTCAAATTATCCATCTCCTCCTTGAGCTGATTCCTTTCTGCCCTTAATTGTTTAATATAATCTGCTCCTTTTTGTAACATGGCAGCTTTACTCAATTTTGCATTGGGATTTTGATTGAGCTGCGGTATTAAACTGTGAAGCATGTCAAAGCCATTCTTAATATTGTATCTACGCTTTTGTTCGGCATGGATATGGCCGACCCTTCTTTGTTCCTTGTACTGTCCACGTTCCGATTCTCCTTTAACGTAACTTCGCGTTGGCGACAATGGACTACCGATGCTCATTGGACTGTGAAGAGGACTTAGACTCAAAGCTTGAGGACTAGGCGCGTTGGAATGATCCTTGGGCGAGCCAGGACTGTTCTGCGGTGGATGAGTTTGATTGTTCAAGAGAATCTGTTGACTCGATTGTATTCCCTGAAAGAAGGATACACACCCACCCACACACACACACACACACACACACACACACACACACAAACATACATGTTGTATCGATCACAATTTTCTCTCTTTCTCTCCCTTTGAACGACCTACCTGTTGTTGTTGTTGTTGTTGTTGTTGTTGTTGTTGTTGGTGCTGCGATGCTTGCATAGAGGAAGTTTGTATAGCTTGAACCGTGACTGGCGTTGCAATGTGATGAGTAGTTGTTACTTGGGTGGCTGAAGCCGTCGGCGGTAAAATAGGTAATATATGCTTAACCGTGCCGGATTGATTATTCGTCGTTGGTATTATTTTTTCGGTCGAGGCGTTCATCGTACATATACCGGACGTATCTGAAATAGGGAAAAGTGAAGAAATTGCAAACAGAGAAAATTCATGTTTACGTACTGTTGGTAAGGAGATGCGCAAGCAAGACATTGTTATTTAAATTTAGAGCAGGGTCGCTAATTGCCGAGGCTAAGGGCAATTGATTCATCCTCGGAGGTATCAAAGAAGAACTGCTCCTAGATCTGTTTCGTGCTTTCATTTGGTACTGAAAAAAAAAAAAAAAAAAAAAAGAAGTATCGTATAAAGTTTACGTTTACGTTTCTCATCGTAACATGTACACGCGACCGGTACGAAACGAACCTTAGGCACCGCAAAGACCTCCTTCTCCGACGTAGTTTGGATCGATTGTGGTACTAATTTTGTCGGTTGCAATGTAAGATCCAATCCGGAAGATCTGCATTGTAAAAGTATAGGCGATTGCGTTGATTGTTGCGTTGGAAGCGATACGACTTGTTGCTGAGCGGGATGATGCGTCTGTCGGTCAGAAAATAAATCGAGCGTGACGTCAATATTATATCGTATTGCAGATAAATTTACGTTACGTAGCGAAACTCATTCGGGGAAGCAGCATGTACGACGTACCTTGAAGTTATTGCCGGTGAATTTACATTGTTGCTGAGTATTAAAGTTTTGACCGATGTTCGATAGCTTGTAACAAGTATTGGGCTGTGGTTGAACGATTTTATAAGGCTTCGTAGACATCGGCGGTGTAGGCGGTAAAGATCTTATGGACCGGTGCTGTTGAGTGCCCGGCAATGCCGCGTTACTTTGCGCAAAGCTTTGCTGCTGGGCCGTTACCAAATTTTGTACCTCGGCGGCCATCGAGGAGATTTGGGTCGCATTGACGACGGAACGATCGTTCAACGTCGCTACCTGTATTCGATTGTCGACGGGAGCGGCCAATTGGACCGTCGCTTGTACTTCCATGGCATAAGAAGATTGCTGCTGGCTCGGCGGCTGCTCGTAGACCGAATTTCGTTGAACCGTTTGTACACTTTGAACGGCCTGCCGATACGCGTCAGCTCGTTGAGATGTCTGTTGGTGGGTCTGTTGTATCACGCGACTTATTCTACCGGAACGACGATTCTCTTGTCGGATCTTTTCACGCGTGGATTGACCATTACTCGTAGTCGTCGTAGTCGTCGTAGTCGTCGCAGTCGTCGTGGTCGTCGTAGTCGTAATCGCCGTCGCAGTCGTCGTCGCCGTCCTCGTCGTTCTCGTCGCCGTCGACCTCTCAAAATTTTCTTCTACGGCAGCCCTGTAATTCATCTCTACGTCCCTATGTTCGAGAAAAGAATAATTTTTCGTAAACCGCTGCGCGGCGTCCGCGCCTTTCGTTCAAGACCGAAAAATGATGATAATAGTAATATAGGGGGAATGCGTTACATGTCATTCCTATAAACGCTGCTAGACTCCGCCTCAGACTGGTTATATATCTTTCCGGTATATTGAAGATTCTGCATGCCGTTTCCTCGTTCCACAGACAAGACTGTCGACGAGCGTTCGTCCTTCGACGTAGCCTCCTCGTTCAGTTCGTTCATCTGATTGATCGGCGTCATCAGATCGATATCGGGATAATTGGCGTTTAAGCTACCACCTCGAAACATGTCCTCCTCTTCCGGTACAGGCGGTAACTTTGAGTTCAAGAATTCTATAAATTTGAGACCCATCGCCGATTAGGATCGCCATTGGTATCGCCAAGATCGAAATAGAGAAAGGTCCATTACCTTGCAAAGGCTCGAGCGTGTCCATAAAATCGTCGAGATTAGGTTGAAGTGGTCCCAAGCTCGGTTGAATGAAATCCGCCAGGCTCGCTCCGCGCGCTGTACGAATAACGACGACGAGAGCATTTAGTATTTTCTTTCCTTATCGCATTTATCTCATTGAATGAAAAACAAAAAAGAAGGGGAGACAGAAGAAAGAAAAGGAAGACGAAAAAAAAGAAAAAAAGAAAAAAGAAAAAAGAAAAAAGAAAAAAGAAAAAAGAAAAAAAGAAAAAGAAAAGAGTTAAAACTTTTACTATCGAGCGATAGGCAATGTGATAGGTACCGATTTCTCTAGGATCTGGAAAGTATATAGGTTGATTCGAACTAATCGTGGAGAATAGCGTATCCGTCATAAGCTCCATATAGTCTTCGTCAACCATCATACTCTCTCCGCTGTGAGCCCCACCGGTGCTCCCATACGCGTTCGCCGTATTCGTGCCAAAATTTTCCGACGTTTCCATGCCATTGTTCCAATCTAGCGTGTCCATCGATTCCATCTGCAAAAAGATCTGTTGTTTTTAAAGAAACTTTTGCTATTCCTCGTAACGATTATAAGAAAGATTATCGATGGCGACGTACCACCTCGGTACCATCCTTGTTCGTCCAGCCAAGAATTTTGTTTCTGTAGAACATGCGCCATTTCTTATATTCCGCAGTAACCGCAGCAAGTTTTCGCTTCCAGTATTTGCCTTCCAGGACGACCGCCTGATCAGATAAGAATTACAAGAAAGTCTAGTCTCGAGGAAACATAACACGAATAAAGAGATCGTTGAAGATATATGAGAAAAATTATTTATCCTTACCTCCGGCTTATTATGAGTGTCAACGTCCAGGGGCGACGCGAACTGGCACACCAACGTGTTTTGCTTCAGTATAACTGTAGGGGACACGAGGAAAAGTTTCTTAAAGTTAAAGTCGCTTGTGCCTCGAACGAAAAAAACTTGCGTAGAGTACACGATCGTAATGCATAGCTACGACGATCCGAGGGCTTTCCCTCTCCTCTCTTCTATCACGGAGGATGACGACGACGACGACGACGACGACGACGACGACGACGGTGGTGGTTCTTTCAAATGACCTTTAATACAAATTCGCGTTCGTTCGTCGCCGTTGTTCCGACATCGTGTTCTTTACGTCGACGTATTTTCTGTCAGTACCACGAAATACGCGGGGAGGGGAAAGGGGTTCTTTCTCTCTTAACGTAGTTAGGCAAAGATTTGTTTTTTTCCAATCTTGCCTCATCGATTCTCAAGCTTTTCTCTTTTACCGTTCGACACGTTCGACGTTAACGGGCGAACGAGCGAGGGGGGGGGGTTGAAGGGAGAGGGGGAGGGGGAGTAAATGCAAGGCGCGCAATTCCACGCTCGCGATAAAGTGGAATATCGGAAATTTATGCGAAACGGCGATCGGCCGCGTCGAACGTAGCCAGGAACGTAGCGCGAAACTCGTTTTTCTCTGACGATTCAAAAATCGTTTTGCTGCTTGTGCGACTACATATGCACATATGTGCGTAGTATAAGTAGAAATGATCGGTGGGAAATATTCGGAGTCATGGAAAGAACGGCAGCCGGGAAAATAATAAGTTTAGAATAAAATTTCAATCTCACTCGAGATCGAAATGATTCTTTTGATCAACGGAAGTGAAAGAAACTTTTCTACTTTTAATATCGTAGAACGGGAGGAAGAATGGAATAAATTATTTGAGGTATCGAAGAGAAGACGCGCGAAGCTCCTTGCAAAATATAATCGAGTAAACGAACTGGTAAGTACTCTAAGGGAAAAATATGAGAAAGAAAGAAACGAAAAAGATATAGGAAAGTATTCCGTCGTCGAGAGAGAGAGAGAGAGAGAGAGAGAGAGAGAGAGAGAGAGAGACGGCACGCGCGTTATCGAAACGAGAGCGAGCCTTTGGCGAAACTGATATACACCAATAGCTTAACGAAAAAGCTGCCACTATTACGACGGTCGAGCTACTTGTTAGTCTATAGTCGCGCGTCCTTTGCACCGTTCCTCCTTCTCAGCGATTACTCTTTGATAATGGGAGGAGCGGGGAGGATACCTTTATACTCGCATCTCCTCTCCACTCGATCGTGATCCTAATTTATCTCTCGATCGGTTTGCTTTTGCACGAGCAAACGCGAGAAAAGAACGGATATAAAGCGGATACGTTGTCGAGTACGATCGAGTTCTCTTTCGTTATTATTTCCTCACACTGCATGTGCCAGCATCTCCAGATAACGTTGTTCAATCTGATCTTGTCCTTCCATCTCAGTCTGATCCCTTTGAAGCGATTCCATTTGGGCGACGTCAGCTTCTGTCTGGAACAAATTCGAATGCCCTTATGTCATACTGCTATGACGTACTTGGCTCTTTCTTTCTTTATATTTTTCAACGCGTACCACTGTTGCTGCATCGCAATGGGAGTGGAAAGCGATCGATAAAATGGTCGCGCTTATCGCTTTTTACACGGTGAAAAGTTTAACAAAGACCCCGCCCATCCACGTGCATACACATTTCTCTTGTTCGTTCTATCGAGACCGAGAGAGAGAGAGAGAGAGAGAGAGAGAGAGATCGTAGGAAACGCGCGACTATTGTCTAGCCTCGATTACAATTTCCATATGTAATTGATATTTATATATTACAGATATATGTAATTGGTATTATTTTTGATTGGTTCGATTAGCGATGCAACAAAGGGGTTGTCGACAAAAGTTGTTACGAAACGGGCTCCATTGCGAGACGAAAAAGAGGGGAGGGATGAGAAAGCGTCGGCTTAGCTTAGAACGCGAGAAGAAAGAGGGAAAACCGTGCGTTCTCCCGCGGGAGATCGTTCGTTTAATTACGTAAGAAAGAATCGTGGGTGACGATTGAAGAGAGAGGATTATCAAACGCGTTACATAAACGTATTCTATCTCAAGTTGTATTATATTATATCGACGTAGAAAGAGGAAGGAATATAAAAAGGAGGAGGAGCACCGTTGGATCTCGCTCGATACAATTTCTATATCCCATATTGCGATATTTAAATATTTCGTAAAAAAAAATTACGCATCTACGTAACCATTATCGCGGGTCACATTTTTTTTAACTCTTTGCTATTCGAATTGAATCCGCCATTTCGAGGCAGTGCCTGTCGCGGAAAATACGTAGTTGGATCGCGATCGATTATCGATTGCGAGATGACGATACCGTTTAAAAAAGGAGTAAAAAAAGTCGCGCGATAGGAAGAACGCGCTGTCGTACGAATACGAGGTTATCGCTTACGTAAGGCGTAAGAAGACGTTGAAAATAAGAATCGAGTCAGTGAACCATGTGCAAACATTGAAGTCGTTGAAGAAACTCGGCCAGATCCACGTTCGCGCGAGCTCGTTCGCGCGAGCTCGTTCGCGCTGCGCGAAAAATTGGATTTTCATTAGATTCACCTTGGCATCGGACCTTAATCATTTTGATTTTTCAGCTAACTCGAGCGATTAGATAAGCAAGAAAGAAAGATTAATCGGTAGAGAAACTTGGGCCGATTGCGCTCGACTTGCCGAGATTCGAACCGTTCTTTTCTTTTTCTCGTTGACGGCGAATCTCGTCGATCTCTTTCTCTCTCTCTCTCTCTCTCGCGCGCGCGAGCGAACGTTCCTACTAGTGGGAACGTTGAAAAACTTTATTTATCTGATAACGCGGTATTTACCAAACGCAGAGATAAATTCGATAAATTTGATAAATTTGTGTGCATTTTAACGAGCATCGCGAGGCTGAAAAGATCCAAGTCCAAGTATCGTTAAAAGAACGTAACACGCTCGATGACCGAGTTTGCCAAGAGATAGAAGCAAGGCCGCGCCCTTTGACAGGGTGCTTCTCTCTCTCTCTCTCTCTCTCTCTCTCTCGCTCGCTCGCTCGCTAGCTCAGTGTAGTACGGCGGTTTTACGGCCTCCCTTTCATTAATTTCTTTTCTCGTTGACCGACCGCCGCTAACGACAGCATTTGTGCGGTTGCCGGGATTTCGCAGAGCCCCACGCTCTCGAAACAACATCCCCGCCGATCGTAAGGTGGGAGGGAGGAAGAGAGAGAGAGTAGAAGCGTAGTTCTTCTTTGGACCTTGATCCAACGCGTTCGCGATCGGCGAAGCGAGAAGGCTCACCTGTAGGCCAAGGACATGCACTGAAAGAGCTTGTTCAAGGACGTCTCGATGCTGAGCTGCTGTTGAGAATTCGGTTTGTCGTCGAGAATATCACCGTCGACAAACTTTTTTAGGGAAAAACCGACCGGCGTCATGATCGCCAATTTTCCATTTTCCTCGTCCGGAACGGGAACGGCGAGCTCGTCCTCGTCGTCCTGAGCCTCCGCCTCGAAATCAGAAACCATGAAATGACCAGAGTGTATCGTCTCTTTCGAGTCTCGTTCCACGGTTTTTCTCGTTTTATCGTTAGGGACAGCCTCCTTCCCACCTGCGGATCGTCCGAAGGCACCGACGATGCCCTGGCTCGACGTCATCATCGTCGAGGGCTTCCTGTAGATCAATCCGGCCTGCATCCTTCTCCTTTATGCTCGCCGTATGTCGCGTTTACCTGTATTTCACTTATTTTTATTGAACATTCTTTTCGAAGGCGTTCGATCGAGTCACTACTTAAATTTACACATTTATTCCCAAGTGGCTATTTTTTTCGTCCGATCGTTTTGCTTTTTTAAACTCTTTTAATCCGAGTTTGTCCCAAGAATTTATGCTAAAGACGAATATGACGCGTAGACACGCGAGACCGGTACGTGTTTACGAAAAAATGAAGCTATTGCGGGCGGCCGCGAAGGTCTTTCTTAACGAGAGAACTCTCTCGCTAAGAGAAATTTTCTATCTCTTATCGTACACGCGGCCCGCGACGAATAATTCGCGCGCCAAATATTTTTTCCGACCACGTTGGCTCGTACAAAGTATTTCTTCTAGTACTAACTTATCTACGAACGGCGCAACGATCGTTCCGACGATTTAACATCGAAATTGCCGCTAGTAGAGTCGCATCGTTCATACTCGCGCGCGCGTTATATATGACACTTTCGCAAGAACGTGCCTTTATTCTACCGAAGGATTAAAAACGAAGCGATAACTTTTCTTTATCGGTATAATAAAAATGAGCTCGTACTGAGGGTCGCTTTAATAATTATTCATCTCATTATTTATCTCGAAAGAAATTTTTCTCCTTTTCATAACGGACGAATTCCGCCTTATTCCCTAACCCATTGCGAGAGCCATAAGAACCATCGCTCGAATGGATCGCGATATATATTTGATAATGATCACGGAAGTTTTCCATCGAAAACCAAGCGAATCGATTCTTTCGCACAGCCGCGTTAGATAAATTTAGCAATCACGAAATCCTACGAGTCAACGACTCTTTCGACCTTTTTTAAAACCTCCAGCGGGAAAAAAGTTCTCTTTTCTCATGCGTCGTATTGTTCGAGCTTCGCGTTACGATCTTTGTCGCCTCGACGAACCAAACGGCGGAATAATAATAATAATAATAATAATAATAATAATAATAATAATAATAATAAGAGTGTAAATCGCGATAAAGTGCGATTATCGATTCTGATCCGACGAACAGATTTTATCTGTTCATCGTTAAATTTGCATTAAGCGGTATGCGGATCCTCGAACGGAGGAAGTAAAGATTAAAGGATGATAGGCGCGCAAACGTCCGGTGTGTAACCGGGCTTAAAAAATAAAGAGCCAAAGAGCTTGAAAGAGCTTGAAAGAGCTTAGAGAGAGAGAGAGAGAGAGAGAGAGACGTTCGTAGCCACGATCGCACACTCTTATGCAATCGTCGCTGCAACTCGAGCAAACATTCGGCTTCGCCCACACGTACGTTCGTTACGCTTGCTCTTCTCTCTTCTTCCTCTTCTTTCAATGATAATACACGATCGTGAAAATCCCCCTGTCACGGATAATCTTTAATTCTCCTTTTTGATTTTATCAGAAAACGATATTGCTCGTAAACTACATTCTTTTATCCGGTTATAATCCTTTGTAATCCTTTTTTTTTTAGCAAATAATTACAACTTTTACAATGAAAAAAGTCTGAGGCTTCGCACGTAGAAAATACTATATTAGTAAATATTAACAAAGTCTTTTCGAAGCAATCTGCATAATTTTTTCCCTCGATGCTAAATGGTGCTTATAGTGAAATTAATACAAATTTTATAAAAAAGAAAAACATTCCGTTTATTAACCTTAGGAATATAAAGGATGGACTATTTAATTAATTTAATTTAACTAAACGTTAATCCCATAAATGGTTCCGTTAAACTGTCTCACTTATTCAATCGATAAGTCATGTCGCATTCATTACAAATACCTTCCATTTATTCTACGATCCTAGTTTACATAAAAAGTTAAGAAAGATGAACTCTTTCTCAGTGTCATGAAATAATCATGCTTGCCGCTATTACAATCGTTATCATTTTCTTGTCTCAACTGACCGACAAAAAATCCATACGTGCCATCTGACAGTTGTTTACTACGATGAAATCTCAAATCAACGAGCTGTTACAAAACAACTTGTTAAAAAGTTACAAGATTCCTCTATGTTTCTGAAGTCTCTCTCTCTCTCTCTCTCTCTCTCTCTCTTTTTCTCTTTCTCTCTCTCTCTCCCTCTCTCTCTCTTTTGTTGTACGCGCTATTTGTGACTTTAAAATAGGCTCTTCTTCTCAGATAATAAATGTACATGTCGATTGTGAACGCGCGAGGAAAGCAAACGTTATCTAGAAACAGGAACGAAAAAGCGGAAAAGAGAGGGAGAAAGATAAGGAGGCCGATATACCAGTCTATTTCTTCGTGAAAGAACGTATCATAGCCACTTGGTAGAAAAGAGAATTCGTTCGATATCTCTTTTTTTCTCTTCGATTCGAGATATACACGTTTATCCTCGATCGAACGTACTCTTGCTTTCCTTTTTATTGTCTTCTATATCGACTCACCTCCTCTTTTCTTTCTCTATCGACACTTCGCTGCGCCACTCTTTTTTTTATCGCGTCTCTTTTCGATGATAACAACAACAACAACAACAACACAACAATAAAACAACAACAACAACAACAACACAAGAATAAGAAGAAGGAGGAGGAGGAGGAGGAGGAGGAGGAGGAGAAGGGAGAGAGGACGTTGGAAGGGGAGAAAGGAAAGAAGGAAAGATCGTGGAAGAAAGATAAAAGTATGAAATCACTGATCGATCGAAAGCACGCACTTCCAAACGAAAAAGTAGCAATCACTCGCCGTCAGGCTGGGCCGCGAGGCACCGCGCCCGGACGAGGTCCGTACGCGTTACTACACGGGACACGCACGCTCATATTGCTTAACGTGACGCCATTTGCAATTCGCCAACAGCGTCGTCGACCATCAACAGTAGGACTGATAGTCTAGTCGATGGTGACAGAGGGCTCTGGGAGGTGTGGAAGGTGGGGAGAGGGGACGGCGACGAGAGGTACGCTCTTTGCGTTGCAGGAACGCGATGCGCGCACATCCTCCTTCTTATTGGCCGAACGTCGCGAACTCTATCGGACGTTGCTTGAATATCACTTTGAACGTCAAACGTGCCTTTTTCAAATCTCTCCGCCATCGAGTTCGAAATACTTGGATACTTATTTTTTTCTCTCTTTCTTTTTCTACGTAATTAAACTACTCGACTTACTTATTTCTAATAATTAATTTTTATAGACAAATTAGAAATATAAAATTAAACTCAAAGTGAGTTTGATTATGCTTGTCCTTAAAAGTTTTCGTCCCAATCTGAAAAATCCAATGGCGCCAACTCGCGATCGATCGGATATCTCTCGAAATTCCTTCTATCAAGATGATGTTTCACCTACGAATGAAAATAACCAATTAACCAGGTAATCTTTGAGACAAGAATTATTCGAAACTTTGACGAAATCCTCATAGGATCGCTCATATCGAAATTACCGTAGGTTTGATGGGCGAGGATATGGACAGATTTTGTAACGATCTCCAATTTAAATCCTTGAACCATCTGTAACATTTGTATTTTAGTCATTTAGATAAATTTCCTTACGTGCGTGTGTGCGTTTGCATATATATATATATATATATATATATATATATATATATATATATATACAGGCGCGCGCACACACGCACGTACGTACGTATACAGGCAGATATTTAGAGACAAACCCGCGCTTACCTGTGATGACGAACATCCGCGACACCGTTTCGCAAGTAACCGAGTCTTTTCGTAGGATCTGCCTCGAGCAAACGTTGAATAATATCTTTGGCTGAATGGGAGAGTATCTTTGGCATTTCGACCGTCTCAATACCCGCGATGATATTGTTACCCACGTCGACTTCGTTGATACCTTGAAACGGAGTCCAACCTAGCAACAGCTCGTAAATGACAATGCCCAATGACCAATAATCGGCAGCCCTTTGAAAGATGCACAAACAATATACATGAATGGAACATATATTTTATATATAGCGTCGTAGATCGATCGACGTACGGCTACCGACCTATTGTATCCCAAACTCTGAATGACTTCCGGAGCTAAATACTCGAGAGTACCGACGTACGTCATAGTCTTGTAAGGGCCAATGAACTTGCTCGATCCAAGGTCGGTCTAAGCGCGACAGATATAACGGGGATTTAGCCGAAGGAAATTCGATCGAAAGACACAGAGAGAGAGAGAGAGAGAGAGAGAGAGAGAGAGAGAGAGAAAGAGAGAACTTACGAGTTTCACATAGCCGTTCTGGTCGATCAATATGTTCTCGGGTTTGAGATCTCTATAAATGATACCGAGCGAGTGTAAGTGATGGATGCCCTCGACGATGCAACCGACGATAAACTTGACTTCGGAAGATGGGAAACGAACTTTTCTCTGCAATGCCGTTCGCAAATCCCCGCCGAGGCAGACCTCCATAAGGAAATAAAGATATCTCTTGTCTTTGAACGTTCGTAACAATCTGCAAAAATGGACGATCAACAGTTTTCTCTCCTTTTCGCCAACGTAGTACGTAGGTACGTAATATATATATATATATATATATATATATATATATATATATATATACAATATATACAATATATACAATATATATATATATATATATTGTATATTTTAGGGGAGAAAATAAAAGAATATATAAATATATCGTCCAATTATATAGGTACTTTTAATTAATTATTGATATTAATAAGGTACCTGCAGATAAAAGGAGAACTGCAAGCCATCAGGCTGTACTTTTCATTGTAGATCAACTTTTGCAACTTCATTTTCGTGATCATGTTCTTCCTAACTTTTTTCCTAGCAAAACTAATACACGGCAATGACGTGATGGTCACCAATTCTACCCTACCATAACCACCTTTACCGATCGTACCCTCGACTTCCATATCGGCCAGGGACAAATTCTGAAATTCCTCCTTCCAATTGTCGTTAACGATCGGCCTTCTCTTTATCTCCCATATCTTGTTCTTGATCGATTCTAATCCGCCGAGATAATCGATGAACGATCTAAAATTGTCTGCTCCTTCATAAATCCGTACGGAATAAAAAAATCCTGCGTAGCGACGTTATAACTTTCGATTCGAACTTACTGCCTATCGATGGTGTAACATTCGGCGCCAGGCGGCAGGGCTATCGCGTTTGCCTGTCTACGACATTTGTCCCCATAAAGCGCCTTCTCTCCAAAATAATCACCCTTCTCGAGGATGATAAGCTCGTCGTCGGCCCCGTACGATTTCTTCTTGGTGATCTTTATATTGCCACAATTAACTATGTAAAACTTGTCGCCTGGGTCGCCTTCGGAAAAAATATGGGTATTGCCTCGAAAGAATTCCTGCGAATAGACATCGTGATAATCGAAAAAATGAAAAGTTAATGATCGTTATTTTTGAAGACTTTTCGATTCGTCGACTTACAACGATTATCAGATCGGACATCTTTGAAAGCACTTCCTCCGGCAGCTCTTTCAGAATCTCGATCTGCCGAAGCATTTGAATATTGTATTCCGTGGATTCCCTCATGGACGCCGACATTATAGCGTGAAAGCTCTTTCTATCGAGTACCCATACTTTCCCATTCGTTTGTACTGGAGAAACATTATGACGAACGGTCTAATTAACGATGTAATTAATTAATCGACGATAAAAAGAATGAACGGGTACCATCAATAGAGCACAATCTTCTCATATTGTAGAGCAAGGCGAGTTCACCGAAGGCGACTCCGATTCCGAATCTTCCGTAATACGTTTTTCCCACGTAAATTTCAAAATTGCCACTTTCCGATACGTACAGATGTGACCCTGAAAATTCATTTTGATTCGTATTGACGAGCGAGCCCATAGGCGTGCATCTCTCCGTCGTCTCCTCGCGACGATCTCACCTTTTTCGCCTTCTTGAATGAGCCTCGTATTAGCTAAGACCTCTCGCGGTTGCATCGCGGACGTGAGCTGCTCGATTTCGGCTTTTTTTAGATTCCCGAGAAATTTATTTTCCGAAATTGCGCGCTTTATCAGCTCCCTCGAACTGCGGAGGAAACAACGAAAGAAGAAAAAAAAAAAGGAAAAAGATGACAGGGTAAAAGTTGGAGTACTCGTATACAATGCGACATATCCGACGAGATCGGCCAATAAATAGAAAAGGAAAAAGAAAAGTTACCGTGAATTTTTCTCGTAGATCGGTATTGCCGTTTTCATTTCTTCGAGCTCACCGACAACGGCATGTTTCCGCACATTGGTCGTCTCCCGATAGCAATCCTCGTTGGTGCCATCCTGACCGCTTGTCATCTTGCTCGGCTGTTTATCTTTTAGTAGTTTCGCCGCAAAACTACTTCGGAAGCTCTTCAAAGGCATCCTTGAAGCCCCTTTAGAAATCGACTCTCGTCAGAAACTTCTCGTTGGTTGACTAAGAGAACCAACTTGGCCGGTCTTCCTTCTTTATCGAACGATTAAAAATTAATTTCCCAGAGAAATTCGTCTATCTCCCTTCGCCTATTATCCTTTATTATAAATTTCTAAGAAAAACCATAAAGGAAAACCATAAAGAAGTAAAAGATAAAAGTAAAAGAAGAAAAATGTTGCGTCGAGGGCAACGGTAGCGCGAGCGCGTGTTCGCGCGTGCGCGCTACGAAATATTTAGACGAAGAACGATGGCAGGATTTCCGAGGTCAAAAGTTGTCCTCGATCAAAATTACCTTTAGTATTTCGATCGCGGTATCTCAGCGAGATATCAGGCTCGACTGATCGATTCCGTTAGTGTCCCTGCGCATAGATCTTATCAATCGAGGATAACGCTCTCGGTTGGACTGGTTCATTGAAAAAACTAAAGACAGATAAACCATACGCGTTTGCTCTTTCAACGTTTAATTCGTTGACATATTATTTGATTGGGAAAAAAGCTCTTTGTTTCCGCGGCGATAAAGAGTCCGATAACAATTACGTCGACTACGACGACGCAAAAACTTTGATCGATGCTTGCCAATAAAAATACTACAACTACTCGTACTATCTACTTTCTTATATCGTAGGAATTAGGTTTATGAAAACGCACGAATATATTAATGAAATTCTTTATTGAAAAACGTTAATATTCTGATGGACATCTACAGATGACGTAGTCATCTCGAAAAATCTCGAAGTTTACGACATTATATTTTATTCAAACGGAGAATATCGTTCTCAAAAGTAACGTTACAATATCTCTAATTGTTCAATGTTAATTTTATATTTACGCCTTATGCTTGTCAACGGAGAAGAATCATTTGAAAAGTGTAGTAGGATTGTTTGAGGAAAGCCTTTCAATTATATATATATATTTCAAGCGTTCTATTGTGGAAAAGCCAATAGAACGGATATCGTAATCAAGATAATCCTTATCGCTTATCTAGGATTTTTCTCTCTCTCTCTCTCTCTCTCTCTCTCTCTCTCTCCCTCTCTCTCTCTCTCTACGCCTTCTTCCCCAAAAAAAGAACGCGTTTACATCGTGTGTCATTTATAATTTTATCGTCTTAGATTAATATCTCTTATCGAGGAACGCGCGCCATTACAATACAAAAGAGTCTCTTTCAACGATCGAGGCAAAAGAAATATATTCTTCCTTCCGATCAAAAGTCCTTGTCCCAACCTGAAAATTCGTCTGGCGGAATATCTCGCTCTGGAGGATATCTTTCAAAGTTTCGCGTGTCGATGCGGTTTCGTACCTAACAATAGAAAAGAATGAAAATAATGCTAAATGAAAAGCGTAATGTCGTGAGAATAATTAGAAAGGAAAAGGAGAAAGATTTACCGTCGGCACTATAGGAGCAGGTAAGGCTAATCGCTGAAGAGCTTGCCAATTAAATCCGGAGAACCATCTGAAATAAAACGACGATAATGAATATCGGTCGAATGGGAGAGATGGATATATCGCTTACTTGTGATCGCGTATATCCTGTATGCCGTTTCTTTGATAGCCCAATCTCTCGGAAGCGGAATGCCGTAGAAGCTTCTTAATAAATTGATTGGCATGTTTGTTAATGATGCTCGGTATACCGACGACCTCGATCCCCTTGAGAATCTTGTTGTATGTCGTCATGTGATCGGCCGCACGGAAGGGTGGTTTGCCGACGAGAAGCTCATGCGTCAGGATGCCAAGTGCCCAATAATCCACCGCCCTTTGAGCAACGTTATTTCCTTCGTTAAGCTCGGCCAACGCGAGAGAGAGAGAGAGAGAGAGAGAGAGAGAGAGAGAGAGAGAATTGTACCTGTCGTGTCCCTTGTTCAATATTATTTCCGGAGCAACGTACTCGGGCGTACCTGCAAAGGTCCACGTCTTGGCAGGACCAATCTTTTTGCTGAATCCAAAATCAACCTGCGACGAATAGGATATATAAATATGGATAAACAAGTAAATGAGCGCGGGCTAAATTGGCACTTTAAGTTCATTTACCAGCTTGAGATAGCCACGAGAATCGAGCATTAGATTTTCCGGCTTGAGATCACGATAAACGATGTTCAAGGAGTGAAGATGATCTAGAGCCTCGACGACGCAACCTACCATGAACTGTGCCGTGGAGTCGTCGAACAATCGTCTCTTTTGTAGAGTCGTCCATACGTCACCACCCAGACAGATTTCCATAAGGAAGTAGACGTATTTGGAGTCCTTGTACGTTTGATAAAGTCTAACGGACGAACGAAGGGAAAAAGATAGGTGGATCGATTCGAAGTGTTAGGAGTTAAGCGGCGATGACGTACTTGCATATGAATGGCGAATCGCAGGCTTGCATAATGTGCTTCTCGTTGAGAACGTGCTCTTGTTGTTGCTGATCGACCATAACCTTTTTCTTGAGCTTCTTCAGGGCAAAACTTTTGTCGGGATCGGACTTTAACGTTACCAATTCGACGCGTCCGAAGCCGCCAACGCCGAGCGTGCCTCTCGTTTCGAGATCGAACAACGTCAAATTCGAATACTCGTTCGTCCACTTTTTTGGCGTCAGCGAGCACTTTTGTTTCTCGTACTCGTCGAGCCAATCCTTGTTGCGAATCTCCTCGAGGCTGCCCAGATAATCGAGGAAAGATCTGTTCAAGTAAAGGATAAGATTCGAGGAGAGATTACAAGAGGATGGTCGAAGATGATGATACATTATCCGTCAATGGGAAGATACTAACGATCCGTCGAGAGTAAGACACTCGACGCCAGGTGCAAGGGCGATCGCGTTCGCGTGCCGACGGTGCTCTCCCTCATCGTCGTAAAGAGCCTTCTCCCCAAAGTATTGCCCTTTGCCGAGTACCACAAGCTCCTCCTCGTCGCCGTACTCGGTGTCCTTTGTTATTCTTACGTTTCCGCCGCTAATTATAAAGAACTTGTCGCCCTTTTCACCCTGCCGAAGGATTTTTGCGCCAGCCGGGAAGAATTCCTAAGAGCAAGCCCTTTGATAGTGATATCCCGAGCTATCGTTATTGCACAAAGTAAAAAGACGTTACCACTCTTATGAGATCTGAGATCTTTGAAAGTATCTGATCCTTTGGTTCTGGAAGCTTTTGAAGAACGGAGACTCGCTGTAGGAAGCGGATGTTGCCCTCTAGCCGATCTTGGGCGCTCCTCATCATCACCATTAGAAAGACCGATCTGTCCAGTACCCATACCTTACCGGACTTCTTAACTGCTCGCAAACGAAAAAGAAACGTAAACGTACGTCGTACGGCTCGTTCAACGCCGAATAACGTAACGATAACAAAGCTTTGCGAGAAGTATAATATAATAATAACAACAACGATGGCACCCACGTAATCGTTAATTCTCACGTATAATCGCGACGTAAGCCGTACATCACAATGAGCTTAAGTCATCGGCTTTACCTCCGATCGAACGAAGCCTCTTCGTATTGTAAAGCAAGGCTATTTCTCCGAATGCGACGCCAGGGCCAAAGGTTCGTTGAAACTTGCTACCTTGGTATATGTCGAACTCCCCTTCCGCCGACACGTACAAATGAGATCCTGAAAAGGAAAAGGAAAAAAAGAAAAAAAAATAAGAAAAAAAAATCAAAGCCAAAGTTGACGAATATCAATGATATCCCACCTATATCTCCTTCGCGAATAACCATCGTATTGGGTGGGAACTGTTTTGGATACATAGCCGCGACGAGAGACTCTACCTGACTGTTCTCGAGATTACCAAGAAACTCGTTCTCCAAAATGGCGCGCTTTATCTGTCTCGCGCTCCTGTTTCAAAGAGATCCCAATACTAAATAAATACCATCCCGTAGGAATAATGAAGAACAATAACAAGTTGGAAGGGAGAGGATACCTGGCGTCCTTTTCGTGAATAGGTATAGGCGCCGCCGAGGTAGGCGGCGTAGGAGTCCTCCCGATTACGCCGCCACGGGGATTAGCCGGTTTTACCTCCTCGTATCCGTCATCCTGCTCGGATCTCTCCTCGTGAGTCTCCAAATTCTCTCGATGACTCTGCACCCGGGAAGGTTCACTTGCTCGACTTTTACTCGTCGATGCCGAGCAAACCGATCCGTTAGACGAGATGGCATTTGGAAGTGGACGTATCTGTCGGAGGGACGTATCAAGGATTACGTGACGAAACGTGATAAAAAAAGAAAAAAGGAGGCGCCTTCTACTTACGACGCCATAAGTCAGATCCGGCTCGCCCGATTGCTTGTAACTGGTAGCGATGGGACTCCTCGTGCTTCCATTCTAGCGCATTGCCGGACAAATAGAAAAATTAGATGCGTAACGATAAGCCACCGTGCTCGTGGTCAAGGTACTTTTAATCCTCGGCTAGACGGCCGATAATTTCTTTGCTTCTACGTACGTAGACGTACATACGTACGTACGTAGACGTACATACGTACGTATCTCGGATTGGGGATTAATTACTCACCACGACGACGCTCGATACGCTCGTTCCGCCATCGTGCTCGTGTTTGTGCGTAAAGTTGATGCTGCCACGCTGACTGAGAATACTCGCTCTTGGAAAGCACGAGAACCTCATCATGTTTTTCTCATCCAACACATTTCTCAAAGAAAAAAATCTCTTCAGCCCTGAAATCACGAGTATTCGTTTATTTCACGCGCGATCTAGAACCGACCGCGATAGTCCGCTTGTCAGCGACCGACTGAAACCCATCGAGCTCATATTCCTTTATCTATTCTTCGTTAGCACACTTTAGCTACGTTCGCGTTCGCTCGTGGTACTCGAGGAGGAGGCGGAAGAGGAGGAGGAGGACGAGGAGGCGGAGGAGAAGGAGGACGACGACAGAGGAACAGGAACGATCGAGCTAGCTCCAACGAAGGGCTATGAAATTTTTACTTGCTATGTCGTTCTTCGAGGCAATCCACGTGCCGTGCGATCGCCTCGAACGATCACATGATTGTGCTAACGACGTTTAGTACCCGTTCGTATAAAGATTCGTCGTTTTAACGTATTAACGCCTTCTCGCCTGATACGAGACTATTTCTTTCTCGACCTTGACACTTGGCCTTTCGAAGCCATCATCCCTATATAACGAGATTCTTTTTATAAAAATTACCTAAACCCTGACGTAACCCTTTTGCCGAGTTAATAACGCTTTGTGTATCATTTGTCGTTCTCGAGATACACTCGATCGGCTCGGATATCTAATCGGTAGGTACACGCTTGTATTACACGCCTAGAAAGAGAGAGAGAGAGAGAGAGAGAGAGAGAAAGAGAGAGAGAGAGAGAGAGAAAAGTAACTCTTGTCTTTCTCTTCGGCGATAGTTAAATAGTTTTGCACATGTTAGAGAAACCGAACGCTTAACCAAAGTCACGCGCTTCTCTTATTTCTCTTTTATATATAGAGATATTTATATATCTCTTTTTTCCGTCCTTGCCTTTTCGCAAAGCTTGCGCTATTTATTATTTATTACCACTAGAGATAAACTTAATTACCCGTAAATGGAATTTATCGCGGTACCGCAATATCGCGCGCATTCTCTTCGAGGAATTATGCAGGGCTCTCGCGTTACACATCCTTCATAGTAACGATTAATGGCCAATTACATTGATGTTTCCCTACATTGGAAATATACCCAATCGACAAAAGAGGTAACCCTTTACATATCCCCTTTCTCTTTTTTCTTCTTTCCTTTGAATTTCTTCGCCTTTCTTCGTTCGACGCGATCAAAACGCAACGAGCTGTAACGTAAAAGTAAAGCGAAGCAAGCAAGGTCGGCAGCACCGAGCTTATTATATCGGACGACGATAACGATATTTGATTAAGCGTGAAAGCCGCACGGTCATGCCGAAATGCTGATCGTATCGCGATATCTACTGATTATGCCACGTATTAATTGCAACCAAAAATTCGTTCAAATACGACGAGAACGGCTATGAATTATTCGTCGCTTCGCTAGTTCTTTACGAGGAAAATTATTTACCCGCGGAGCGCCGCGCTGCGGAAAATTAGCGCGGTGACGCGACGATTTTCAGAATTTATCGCGATAAGCTGCGCTCTTTATTCGTCGTCGCAAAAACATCTTCCTTTTGCCTCGGAAGCTTCGATCTTTGAGTCGGAGAGCCTCAATGTTTGTTCTCTTTCGATCGTCTCTTCGTCGAAAGAATAAAACGAAGGGAGGGAGGGAGAGAGAGAGAGAGAGAGAGAGAGAGAGAGAGAGAGAGAGAAACAATACGATTTTTGCCGCGCGTTGCAACCAATCGCGACACAATGGCCTGCGGCAGATCTTTATATTTTTCTTTTTCTTCTTTTTCCTTTTATTTTTTTTCTCCTTTTTTTACATAACACGGAAGACACGTTTTCGTTTCGAAGCGCGGAAAAACGACGGAGCGATATTTCGCAATGTCTTTCTGTTGCACAACGATCCCGATGGCGTCATTTTTAACAACGAAAGAAAAGAAATGCGAGAAAAATGGAAACGACCGATCGAACGATCTAACGGTCGGTCGGATCCTTCCTTCGACTTTCTTCCTCGTTTTGCTTTTCGTTCGTTCGCTCGTTTACGCTCCCTTATCGCTTTTTGATGTATTCCTATCCGACGACTATCGGGGCTCTCTTTGGATAAGGATCTATCGAGAATCGAATAATTCGTCATCATCGACACGATATACTAATATTTTTTTCTTCGGACAAAATCCGTTAACTTGAAGCTTAGCGCGAGCGAAGCACACGTCGCGTTACGCTTCGAGAACGGGGATCTTTCCGAGGAAATTAAAAGAGGGAGCGAGCGAGAGAGCGAACGAGAGAGAGAGAGAGAGAGATCAACGAACGAGAAGTATCAAAGGAAAATTGATTCCCCTCCTCCCTTTTATATGACCCTTTTTTTCGCTCGTTCTTCTCCCGCTGTACCGCTCGAATTCGTGTGTTCTACTGATGTACCAAGTTCGACAAAGACACAAAAATCTTATCTAACCGATAACGAGAAGACGCAGTGTCAACAGGTAGGTATGTACGCGCGCCTATCAGAGAATCTTATCTAACGAGTCTATTCTCTCTTTTCCATTAACGAGTTCTACTACAAATTACTTTTCTGTGCTTTTCGTTCTCGCGCACACGTTTTATTTTATTTCATTTTGTTTTTTCTTTCTTTATCTTTTTATTTTTTTTTTTACCGTTCTCCCTCAACCCATAATAGATACGTTAGCGCGAGGGAGCGGACATTTCGAATTCAATAATTTCGTAAGAATCGGTTGGACCATTTTTACTCGTTTCGTCGCGTTTAAACGTACACATTTACTTATCTTTACCTCTGCGTGTCTTTCCGAGTAATTAAATGACCTCGTTCTGGTGACACTTAAGCAAACACTCGCAATCGGTGGTATGTTTTTAATAATCTGACGCGCGCGCAACGCCGTTTAAATATTTTCGAATCGCAAGGCCCCGAATCAAAAACGGCCCTTATTTTAAAATCAACATCGGAACGAGTCAAAATATCGTTGCGTTATGTAAAAGTTGCAGGAACCTGGCATCGATCCTAATATGATCGATCCGAAAGCGAATTAATTGAGAAAGCAAACGATTCTTTTTTATCCCCTCTTTGTTCTCTCTTTCTCTCGTCGATCTTTCATTTTTTCTTCTCGCTCGGTAGCGTCGCTCGCGATAAGATCCTCGATCGGAAGAAAATACTCACTTTTTCCAATCGTAACCGTCACTTTGTCGTCCTCCTCGAAGATTCTTCGAATATCTTCATGCTCGATACTTTTCTTCGTTTACTTTGTTATTTTTTCTTAACCAAATATCCGGACAAAAGAGTAACGATTTCGTAGCTTTTAATGGGAAAACGAATGACTAACGCGATCGGAATTGGACTAATAATTGGAGGAATGTGCATTAACATCGTAGGCGCGCACGCGTCGCCTTTATCGCCTCGGCCTTCCTTCGATGTGATTCAATTCGAGAAACAGTTCTTGCGGATTATTCATCGGATCTCGCGAGGTAGCCCACATAGGTAGGTAGCCGTCTATGACCAGAGAGCTTCGATTATTTGGATATTTTCAAAAACGAGGGTAGAAAGAAAAGACAGATAGATAGATAGATAGACAGATAGATAGATAGATAGATAGATAGATAGATAGAGAGAGAGAGAGAGAGAGAGAGAAAAGGAGCAAAAAAATAAAAAAGAAGAAAATGGCTATGGTCGACGGAAGAAGACGTGGTCGACAGGCAGCGTGTGCTATCGACGGCCCGGTCACGAAGCTACTAAGGTGAAAATACAGAAAGAGAAGAGGGAGTTTTTCGCGGCGTCTCTGGCAACATCGATACGGTCGGCTGGCTGGCTGGCCACCCGACCAGCCTCGACCCTGATGATGCGCTATCGACGATTATCGGTTCGCGTATACACATGCGAGTACAATGTTTACAATGTCATCTGTATATGTAATACTTGCAATTATCTCGTACATAAATATACGCAGCCGTATAAAGTTCCTCGGAGAAAGTCTGAAATCAATTAATTACTTATTTTTCATTTTACATATGCATCTATTCTCTTCTATCTTATCCTATTTTGTATCCTTGCGAAAATGTTTGAGTGGATATATATTCGATAAACGACGAAACGAATCTCCGTTCGTCGTTTCTGCGTCGATGGACAAGTGGTAGAAGAGGATTATTTTTTATTTGAAAAATATTTAATAATAAACATTGACAATATACAGAGAAAATACGCCATAAGAAGTCGCTATGGGAGTAATAAGAACCTAACAACTGGTCCAGACTTAGAAAATATCATCAAATCAGACAATGATAAAGGTGTCACAAACGACATCTTTTATCCCTATCAATATTTTGCAACTAAAGTTCGAGATGATTGTATTTCCTGTTCGCTTGCAATTTTTTCACATTTCTCTCTCTCTCTCTCTCTCTCTCTCTCTCTCTTCTCCTCTATGTCGTGTGTGTATATATATATATATATATATATATATATACATATGTGTATATGTATATCATGTATTTTTTTTCTTTTTTATCACTCTCAACGTATCGTTCGCGCTTTAGCGCTTAAGAAAGGAAACGAAACGAAACGAAACGAGTCGCGCTGCGAATCTGCAAACTGTCTTTTGTGAATTTGCGCGAACGAAGACGAAGCGTTTAATGCGTCGTATCCGTTTGCGAATCATATCCAGTAGAATATACATATACATATATATATATATACATATACATATATATATATATATATACATATATATATATAAATGTGTCTATATTGATTTGCGCGCTGAGAGAGAAAAACGAAAATTTACAGATATCGCCCGTCCAAGTCGTTCCGCTCGTGCTTTATTCGTGTCTCGCTGATTATTCCTTTACCATATTTCCTTTTGTCATCTTTCCTCTTTACTTTCACATTACAATTTAATTAATAATAACATTATTAATAATTAAGAATATAATTATTTGAATTCATTCATTTATAATTTACGATATCTCGAACAGCGGCGCGCGGGCCGGCGTTAGCTTGCCATCTTCGTGCTACGTTTTAAAAGACGAGAAAAAAAAAGTGTTGTTGTTTCGAGGAGGTACGCGAGATGCGTTTTCTCTCATCTCACTCATACGCGTTGTTACATACACTCTCTCTCTCTCTCTCTCTCTCTCTCTCAAACACTCAGCGCACAAGGACACGATAAACTTTTTACATTCATTCACGCACGCACGCAAATCTTTGACCTAAATATAGATAATAATCATTGTAACGCCTTAATGTCATGGAACATTCCTCTTTCTCGTATTACATATTTTTCTTTTACTCGAAAACGGGCACAATCATTTTGCCAAGATCATTCATTAGAAGAGCATTGAAATTTTCCCTGTCGCTCGGCCCACGTTTCCTTCATTTTATATCGTTGCGTTTACGCTATCTATTTTTATGTGTGTATATACAACTTTTGCTTTTTTCCTCTTATCGCAAGTTGTTGTTTCCCTTTCGAGAATACGACTTCAACTCCTTTCGAGTATTACGTGTGAATGAGTTTGTATGGGCGTTCATCATACTTTGCCTTCTTTTTTGCCGTTTAGCGCAACGTCGACTCTCTCGTAGGACTAAGACGGTAAAAAGCACAGAGAGATCTCGGTTAACGCGCCCTGCCTAATACGCTAGGATATGTTGCTCGTTAGATGTGTCATTACGTCATGTATTCATCTAAATTCATTTAAAAATTCCCTTTAATGGTAATTAATGTTTTATATCGCTAGTTGTAAGTATTTATACGTATAACATACGGTGCGTATCATTGAATAACTTTATACATTGCTCGCTTATCTCTTTTTTTTTCTTTCTTTCTTTCCTTCCTCCTCCCCCTCCTTTTCTTTTCTTTTCCTTTTTTTTCTCTCTCGATACAATTGATTTGGTACGACCCGCCGCGAAAAACAATGAAATTAATAGAAATGAAATTGATACAGATTCGTTCAGATAATTTATTTTTCTTATTAGAATTCTTTTTCTTCCCTTCTTCCCGTTCGCTAATGTTTAGACCGATGGTCTAAACGATTCGGGATATAAACGAAAGGACGATGGAATTTTAAATTGTCTTTACGCGTTTCTATCGCTTAAAGAGCTAAAAGCCAAGAAGGTAAGGAAGAAAGAAGAAGAGAAAGAAGGGACGCGATACGATCGTATGTCGAGAAAAAAAAAGAAAAAAAAAAAAAAAGAAAAAAAAAAAGAAGAAGAAGAAGAAAAGAAAAAAAGCGAAAAGAAAAGAGAAAAAGAGATAAAGAAGAGGAGAAAAGGCCCAAAGGAAAAGAAAGAGAAGAACGAAAGATTTGGTTGTGCACTCGTGACGCGCTTTTCCTAATTTGAGCTTGACTTAATCTCTAGCAACTATTTAATAATAATAGCCTACCCCGATAAAGATATCGATTACGAGTAAGTATAAATTTTAGTCACAGTTCACATTACACAGAATTAACTCCCAAAGCAGATTCGTTCGTTCGTTCCTTCGAGACGTGTTCTTTGAAATTTGCAAAATTTCCAAATGTGATCGATCAATTTTCGTCTATCGGCTAAATACTATAATGGCTCTCTTCGATCCTTCTTTTTCATCTTCCTCGAAAGATTCCTCGAGCTATTCCCTTGGTAGAATAAAGTTTATCGTTATTGTAATCGTAATCGTAATCGTAATCGTAATCGTAATCGTAATTCTAATCCTAATCGTAACCGTAATCGCGTAGCAGCTAAGATTACCTCTCACACGTTTTAATTTCACGTGTGTGCGTGTGTGTGTGTGTGTGTGTGTACATACATATGTATATGAATATATATATATGTATATATATGTATATATATATATATATGTATATATATATATATATTTGTGTTGAATTTCATTACGATCTACCGACTCGTCAATCTTAACGTTTACGAGAAAATTATGAGTATATCTTGAGTCTTCTTCGGCTACGTTCTTCGGCTTATTTTGTGCTCGACGATCGATCCTTCTCTATTTACACATTTATATAACTGGCACCCACGCACACGCAAAAAAAGACTACTATCTTGTTCTGTCCATTCTCGAAAGGTTTAGAGAGAGCTATGCGTCGTTAGCCTTATTCTAATGTTCTAAGAAAATTTAAAAACTAAAACGTAAAATAACGGTCAGAAGACTATTCCTAGCCGTTGGATAGTTAAAGATAAATCTTTCGTCATATTTGGCTACTTCGTATTCTCCCCCTCGTAATATCTATCCATCGGCTCGCCGCCGTCCTCTTTCTCTTCGTTCCTCTTCTTTCTTTTTCCTTTTTTTCCTACGACGTCCGCCGCCTCTCTCTCGTTATTCTCTCGTGCGAGAATTCTTATTTTCCTTAGGTGTATAATATTAGATAAATCCTCGCGCGCTAATTATAACTTAAAAGGTAAGGGCGTATGGTGATACATCACTCTCACTCGTCTCAATGTGCGTTCAATTTCCATTTCTTGTTAAATCCATCGTAAGCGTAACTTTGTTCTTTGTTTTTCCTCTTTCGTGATATATCGTCGATCCTCGACTACGATCGGGAGAAAGCGAGCAAAGGATTAACGAACCATTGACGACAATTCAAATGGGTCGTTAGACGTGCACTCGAGAGACAAACTCGTGGATACATTCAGAGAAAATAATGTTCTCGCTAAATCCCATTAAGATATCGAATATTCTATTACCGAATCGAATATAAAAAACGTCCGCGACTCTTTTTAATTAAAAGCTCGTTCTAACTCGTCGCGACACGGCCGATCTGATTAAATCCGTAAAAATAATAATAGCAAGTATAATACAAAAGTGTTATTTACTACAAAAATTCATAAAGAATTATGCCGCGTGTGTGCGCGAACTGTATTATCTGTTACGAGGAGGATAGACGACGGCGCGCGACGACGAACATACACGCGTGTGTGTGTATCGAGCAATCGTGTATTAAAACAAAGAACGACCTATCAAAAATATACACAAAGGATAAAAGCGTTCTTCCTTTTATGATCATTCGCGAAGTACGCGAAACGCAAATTCCTCAGAATCGATATCTTCCCTCTTCCCGAGTTTTCCCGATCGTGTTCGAAAGACCGATCTTTGGACAATAGACGTACGATCGTCGACGCGACATCCGTTACTACGGTCGCATTTCTTCGAATGTTAAAACCTAGTCAGCGACGGACGCGCGCACGCTCTCTCTTAGAGGATAAAAAAAAAAAAAGAAAAAAAATCCAGACCATCGTCCTTCATTTGCATTCTCATATCTCCTCGATTGAGAGAGATCTTTCGCGCGGTCTAATGTCAATAATAATAATAATAATAATAATAATAATAATAATAATAATAATAATAATAATAATAATAATAATAACAATAATGATAATGATAAAATAATAATAATAATAATAATAATAATAATAATAAAATTATAATAATATTAATAGCAATAATAAAAGTGGCGAGCGAGTTGGCGCCCGCCCAATGAAACTAAACGTAAACGTTTCGTGCGCTCGTGCGGCGTGATTCGCATACGTTTTGATTTGGTTTTTCGACGTAAATTCTAGCGTTTGTAGAATACGATGCTGAGAGATGTAATGAGAGAAAAAAGGGGATAAAGGAAAAAAAAACAAAAAAAAAAAAAAAGAAAAGAAGAAGACAAGGAAAATGGAAAGGCGAACAAACGATATATATTTCGAAGGAAATATATAGATCGGATATACGTGCCGATCCCTTCGGTTCGCCTTGCCAGAGAGTATTGAGTACGCTTTCAAGTATTAATTTGTCTTTCTAGCGAATCGCGGATCTAGGGTGATCTATATTTGCGACGTTTTAAAATCGGTGGTGCTTCGATTAGGAACCGGTAAGAGAGAGAGTGTCTGACTAGACCCTGTTGAGACCCTGTGCAACGTCCGGCTGTGTTCATCGTCCAGCGCTCTAAAAGGACGCGAATCTGTTTTCAAGGAAATATAGATGCTTCTCTTTCTATAGATACTATCATTTCCGGCAATTGTGTTTGTGTGTGTGTGTGTGTATGAGTCCTTTTTCTCCTATCGTCGAGACTGCTATTGATAAATAAATAACTGGCTAGAAAGGGGGGTGGGTGGGAGAGGGAAAAAGGAGAGAAGCGATAGGCGCGCTCTCTCTCTTAGTCCTTTCGATCTTAGAAACGCAAATGTTCGTGAAGAAAAAGAGCGTGGGATGATTTTGTACGCGCGATCGACGACGTTTTCTGTCACTGATGATGGCGGTGGTGATGGAGCTGCTCTCGAACGTTGGCAGGCTTACTTTAAAGGGTCCAGGCGTCGCTTCTTTCTCGTCGATGTGCTTTGCGTGTAACGTTGGATGTGTGCTGCGCCTCTATGCGCGTCGGTGTACTCTCGTGTATATGCGTGTGCGCGAACGTGTACCGCTGCTTCTTGTTTCGCGGCGTTACCGACGACGGCGACGACGACGACGACGACGATCGTCATTGTCGATTTCTGGTCGTCGCGTTTCTTGCCGATCCCCTCTCTCCAAATTCTCCTTTAATAAGGCGTAAATCTGTTGTATCCGCCTCTATAGACCGTTGCCTAAAAGAAAGAAAAAAATAATAATTGATCGATGCCATCATATTATTCGTATATATTCATGCCGATCATCTTACCCCGTATCCTGCCACCGGACCGATGCCGTGTCCGAGATAAGGGTCGGCGTATTCGCGTCCGTAACTGTAAAATCATAATGATCGACGTTAAGATCGACGTTGCTCGTAGCCACCACTGCGCGACTCATTTTCGTTGTCGAGGAAATACGACAATGGAGTAGGTACATGAGAATAGAGACTTAGAAAAGAGGAAAGTAAAAAATAATGGGATATACGAACGAAGCTGTGATTCGTTTACAACTTTTCATCAGGATTTTCGTTGGGATTTTCGATGGGATTTTCGTCGCCAGGGAGGAAGGACTGGTATTCGGGCATCTCCTCGAATCTGCGACTTCTAAGAGCTCGCCCACGGTGACGATTCTTTCTGCAAGTCGATCGACTCGTTTATAAAAAAATCTTTTAAATATAGAGATATTCTTCGTTTGGACGAAAAGCAAAAGCCGTCTCTAATATAATTAGAGAGACGTCTCGAGGAACGAGACGAACAAAGTGGGATGGATGGGTGTTTTAGGAAAGAGCTCGTGTCGTAGGTGGCGCCTGAGATACTTACCCCGCTACTGCGGCATATCCTGCGACCGGCTGTGCTGCCGCTGCAGCTGCCCCGTATGCGCGCGCAGCCACCGCCGTGTAAGTCGCTGCAGCTGCATAAGTCGCTTGCTGTGCCGTCGAGAGCGGCGTCTTTAGCAATGGCGATGCTGCGGCCGCCGCTGCAGCTGCCTGGAACAATAATCATGACCCGCCATGCAACGCTCAAAAGCAAGCTCGAAGAATTCGAACAGAGAGAGAGAGAGAGAGAGAGAGAGAGAGCTAGATAAAGAGAGAAAAAGGAAAAGAATGACGACGGCACGAAAACGACAAATATAACATCGTTGATGACGATAATGACGACGATTCGTGCATAAGGTCTTCTGAATAAGGTCGTCGACGATATCTTGTGCTCACACGTTTTTCCTACATAATTTTCTTAACGATGCAAAGAGATAATAATTGGAAACATTCGTCCTGTAAATCTCGTTTCGTTATTATATCGCCTCTGGGGAGAGAGAGAGAGACGTGGAAGAAAAAATCAAATGCGACGCTTTAAAAGCCTCGGAGCTTCTTCGGTTTCGACTGAATTCAAGCCGTACCTGAAAATAGATGCAGAAGGGCAATGCGCGAACTCGTATCTCGCCAAGAGGAGTACTTTCGACGGAAGCTTTAGCGCTCTCTCTCTCTCTCTCTCTCTCTCTATTTATCTGTCTCTCCGTCTCTCTCTCTCTCTCTCTCTCCCTCTCTCTCGCCGTCTGTCTCGCAAGCGAGCGCTTTGAAGAACGCGCGTCGCGTCGCGCCGACGATGACGGACCTCCTGCGAGCAAACGACGTCTAACGATGTTCCGTTGAGATCGCTCTCGTAAAAGGGAGGAAAATGGTTGTGCCTGCGTGTCACTGCCAGAAAAGCTACGTTAACGACTACGTTAACGTTTTTATGATACATGGGATATTCGCTCTCGACGACTCTCTATCTGGTTAGCAAATTTAAAAACTTGCAAACGTTCTCGAATTGCCGTACTCTCGTCTTCCAATGGATCATTTTTATTTTGTAAAATTTTTGCAAAAGAGATAAACGAATATAAGTGAGCGAAGAAAGATAAGAAAGGAAAAAAAAGTAAGAAAAGAGAGAAAAAAAAAAAGGTGTAATTTATTCGCGCGGATAAGTCTTTCCGAGTAAATAAGAAGATAAAGCGAAAGTCCATATAGCGCGTAATAGACTATAGATAAAAAGGAGACGAGATGTCTAAGTAAGCTTCCGTTCGGAGAGGTATTTCGATCTATTGTCGCGATGAAAAAAGAAAAAAAGAAAAAAAAAAAAACGATCGTTCTGGACGAAATGACGAAACGAGAGCTTCTGCGATGGGGGAAAACTTTCGTCGCGATAACAGGGACGAAAGAAAATTCGGACGGCGCCGGATAAGTTTCGCTCCGCATAAATAACCTTGTTGTTTCGTCGACCGATTCGAAAAGAGAGCCTTCAACGAGGCAAGGGATGGATATATCTAGGTGCGAGAGAATAAAAGAAAATGGGTAACGTAATTCGAAGGAATTTTTACGAGGTATAGTTTTCTTTTAAACTTATCTACTTTGTTCCACTAAAAAAGCATGACTAAGTATGGTGTATTTACCAACGCGTTGGACAGGAACAATTTATCTAATCCTCTACATCTTCCGACCGTTGCGTGGGAACGCAAAAACTCGATGCAATCTACGACAATAGGTGGGTAGTCGCTTATGCAATACCTACATATAAATATAGGCAAGTTTGTCAAATGCATTGTACGATGCGAGATTATAACGAATGCACCGAAGAGCGCACCACCTACCGACGCTCGTAAAAAGGAAGAAAGAGAAATACAAGTAACAAATACGGAGCTATTAACCGGAGTAAGAAGGATCCTCCTCTATTCAATCGACGTGCGTATTACGTAACTTTGTAACTTGGTACAGAGAGAAACAATAGAGATGCAACTAACGAGATATATCTCGATATGGTTCTGTGATATCGGATATGAATAAAAGTGGAAAAAGGGCCCGTTAAAAATCAACATTTTTACGTTCGCCGATCTCATTAGATTTTCTCTCCTTGATTCTAATATTATTATCAACGGATAAAGATCCAAGAATTTAACGGGATATAAGGGCTATGGTAGGCATTGTGCTTTGCTCAAACATTCGATGGTTAATACGTTCTATGATAGGGAAGGAATGAAAGACGTTCTTCATCGGTAATCTCGTTTTCAGCGTTGAAACGTCTCTTAAATGGTCGGGGGGGATCAGCGCGTGTGCCAAAGAACGAACGAAAGGCGGTATACCACCTCCTCTCGATCTCTCTCTCGGACGGAAAATTATTTCGCGGTTGATTCATGGTTCGACGAAATAACGTTGCCAAGCGTATCTATAATATGCGACTACTATACGAATTCTCGCGAGATGCGCAAAATTGTATCTTACATCGACAAGCTCGACAGCTTTTCATACGTTCATTCAAATTCCAAAAAAGCATCGTTAGCACAACCGCTATTCTACGATCGATCGGCGAACACGCTTTGCGGATCCCTCGCGATAAGCAAAAACGACGGAAAGAGAATAAAAGGAGGTAGAGTAGAAAGCACAATATACCTACTGCAACGGATCGAGAAAAGAACTGCGGGGGTGGGAATTAAAAACGAGAATAAGAAAAAAGAACGAAGAAAATAATAAGAAGGAGCAAAAACCAAACGAGAGATAGAGAAATAACTTTGTATGGGCGGCGGATCACCCATCCGAAATCCTACCTCCAGAGCGGGAGCTTTAGCCTGAAACACAAACGTCAAACCTGAAAAAGGAAGTTTCGATATCGCGCTATTTGCGAGAGATATCTTTTCTCTCTCTCTCTCTCTCTCTCTTTCTCTATCGCACTTTTTACCTCTTTTTTTCCGAAAGAAAAAACTGTAAAAAGCAAAGAAAAGAAAGAAAGAAATAGAAAAGACGGAAGAGAGACGTATATCCCTCTCTTTCTCTCTCTCTCTCGTTATGGTCGGTCCTCCACGCGAATCCCTCTTTTTTACCTTGCGCATGATCTTTATGCGACCTATACAAAGGGACGACGAAAGAGAGAAGAGAAAGAAAGAGCGCGTAGAAAAGAAAAAAGAGAGGCTCTTCTTGAGATTTGAACGAGAGAATTGAAAAGAGAAAGAGAAAAAAAAGAAAAGAAAGAAAAGAACAAAGCGAGATAGAGCATGTCGCCGTTGCGACGATGCGAGACTGTTGTGTGTTTGTGTGTAAGAGAGAGAGAGAGAGAGACTCTATACTATGTATGTATAATATGTATGCGGAGAGCATAGGAAAAACGAAAATGTCTGATACGACGATAAAAATAGCGGCAAGAAGGAGAGAATGATTCGTGACGCGTAGATCGTTATTCGGTGCTCTTTTGCATTTCGTGTGGAGGTAGCAAGCCTTGCGGAAAACGTGTCGACTAACTTCGGCTGTAGCTTGCGGCCATTCCAACTATATAAACGGGTCCGAAAATCGATAGACTTTAGTTAACGCTTTCCTACCATTTTCAACCGAATATCGCATGCGGTATTTTTCCGCTCCGACACGGTGCACGCGCGATCTCCTTTACTATTCTTCTTCTTCTTCTTCTTCTTCTTCTTCTTCTTCTTCTTGTTATTACATTGTTTTTACGTCTTTTACTCCATTTCCTTTGAAAAAGAAAAAACAGAAGAAAGAAAGAAAGAAAGAAAGAAGAAGAAGAAGAAAAGAAGCATGGAACAGCGTTTCGCATAGGTTTCTATTCTTTCGATGCCACGCGAATGCGCATGCACGAAACGTTCGCGCCGAAAAAATCACTTATGCACAAAGCCATCCCCCCCGCCGCCGCGCGAATCAGCTTATGCGATAAGCGAATAAGCTAGACATTATCTTGTTTCGGATAAAACGAAAGTACGCGCGGTTCCATGATGAAAAAAAAAGCGATCGTCGAATTCGTTTCGAACGAAGGAATATTGAATATCGCGGTCACAACTTTCGTCCATTTCCTTCCCATTTTCTCAGCGATCTTCTCTTTCTCTTTCCTTCGACGTCGCTCCGTGCACCGGAAACGGATATATCTCGCGTTGGAAAATTAAGAGGCCATAGATTGGAGCATCTCACCTGTAGCCTGTAGTTTGGATCCTGTGTCGCCGCGTGTGCTGCTAGGAAGGGGTCGTAATAGACGCTGAAAAAAATCAAAAAAGAAGATCGATCGATTAAATCTTTCTTTTTTTTTTTCTGACACGAGGATCGAAGGAGAAAGGTTAAAGGGGAGAATAGATACGTTCGTAGGAGATCGAACGAAGCATCGGTCGGTGCTCCTTCTTTTTTAACGCCCTTAATACGTAGGGGATCTTTGGGATGAATTAAAGGTGCGATTCGAAGGTTAGGAAAAAAATTCAGACGAACGAACGATTGGATAACGAGGATGAAAGGTTGCAAAAAGTTTCAACGTCGTCGAAAGGAAGGGGGTCGATATACCGGGCCCAGAGCGCTTCCATTGTCTTCGGCGCTCGCAGAAAAAGGGAGATGAACTAGAAGAGGGGCTCTCTCCTCCGTTCTCTGCCGCTAGAAAATTATTCGTACTTTGTGTAACGCATTAGGATTAGTAAGTTCGTTGGTGCTTCGAGCTCGTGCAGATGCAACGTACACATCATATTCTCTCACGTATATGTATTTACACACACCATACGTATATCTCTATCCATCTATGGAATACACAAAAGCAAACGGGCAAGACGTGCAGCGAAGCTTCTTCTCTTTTTTTTTATCTTCGTTTCTTTTTTCCTTTCCTTTTCTTTTCTTTTTTCCTTTGCGACAAACGAATTGTATCTCGAATTTGAAGTTATTTTTCAACTCGAATCGTTTGTCGCGCTTCTTTTCTCCTTCTTCCTCTTGGAAAAAAAAGCTTTGTTCAGTAATAACGCGGATCTTACGATCCGAAGGAAAAAGATCTGTCTATCGAGATATATCTCCTCCTCCTTCTCCGTCATAGTCGCGATCTCCTTTGTAACAACATCGCGATCCGATGAAATTCGAAAAAAGAATTTGGCGGGAAAGCGTGGCCGACTTTACGAAGAAAGCCACTCTTGCCCGAGATATTTTCGCCTGCGTCCACGAGTAGCTTTTATCGTTTATCGATCGCGATGACATTGAAGGAATTGCGATATATCGCCTATAATATTCGAAACTTTTTCCCAAATTTATTCAATACGATTTCGGAGATGTCTGGGAGAGCGAAGAGATGGGACCAAAGGATATGAGAGAGAGAGAGAGAGAGAGAGAGAGAGAGAGAGAGAGAGAGAGAGAGAGAGAGAGAGAGAGAGCAGAAGCGACGAAATCGAAAATACGTGTACTTACGCAGGCGCAAAGGGATGAAGGGCCGTGGCGGCGGCCGCGGCTGCGAGCGGCCCTGGATTTCTGGCCAACGCCAACGCCGCCGCGCTGCTCGGAAAAGCTGCCCTTGCCGCTCCGACTCTTCCCCTTTGAATGGCCACTCCTCTTAATGCTGCCGCTGAAACAACGCGTACGTGCCCCAACATTTTTTTCTCTTACCTTTCCTCCTTACTTTCTTTCTTTCTTTCTTTCTTTCTTTCTTTCTTTCTTTCTTTCTTTCTTATCATCTCCTCATTCTTCTTATTTTGTCAACTTTCGCAGGATACATCGATCTACGATCGTCGGCCGTTTGGATACTGGTTGGATGCTGCCGTGGCCAAACGCGCCCGAGACGAAGCGCACAGACTGTCTTACGAGCTATTGTTTCTTTTGGATATAGAGAAAGAGTGTGTGTGTGTGTGTGTGTGTAAGTAGAGAGAGAGAGGGGATGGATGGGTGAGGAGAGTTAGGAGAAAAGATACAATTTTCAAAAGTTTTTCAACTTTGTCGTACCTACGATATATACCGCGAGCGATTCGAAATAAATCATATTTGGGAATGCACGAGAAAATACAAAGGAATACCCGAGTCACTCTTAACAATTGTAGAATAAATGGGTATCTTGGGAGGAATAAAAAGCGAGAATTTTTTCGTCGATGCAAACGTTCTCTCCCTTTTCTAGCACCCCTCCCCCCCTCTCTCTCTCTAAAGACGAATCAACAGAAAAAAAATAATAACTAAAGAGAAACAAAAGATAGGACACAGAGGGGATGCTTTTCTGCCTACCTTTAGCCAGCATCCTTTGCGTTGAACTCGTGGACGTTAAAAGTAGTGAAAGTTTGAAAAATGAGGCGTAGATTCACCGACGTTAGTCCACGCTCGGAAAGAGACGATCGTTCATTTACGCATCTTTTTTTCCGAACATAACGAAATATTATAATGATGTCCAAAAAGAAGCACGTTTCGCGGAAATACTTTGGAAGATTTTGATTGAAGTATCTATTTCCCGTTTTTTCATCAAAGAATTCAAAATGAGCCAGCTCGAATAAGACTACCCTCGTTAAATTCAACGACTGTAGAAAGAGAAAGAGAGAGAGAGAGAGAGAGAGAGAGAGAGAGAGGGTGGGGGAGAGAGAAACGAGTCTAAAAGCAATAAAACGCGATCTCGCTCGAGATATTTCTTTCGGGTTCCGTTTCATTGAAATGTCAATGGTACGCGATCAAACGATAAGAACTTACGAATATCGGTAATGAACAACAACAGCAACACTAGCAACATCAACGCGAAACAGAAACAACATCAAGAACGTCATCGGTAACAACAAACTTTACCGAGCAAGTTGTCTCTCGTCGTCCAGAGTTATGCACGTACACGTTCGCTCTCACGATATGCTGAACGATTCGACGTATGTAAATATATACATACTTAATACTATATTCGGCACTCTACTGTCTACTAGGTCTATCACGAGCAATGCTTGGTGTTATATATGCATAAACAGTGCAGGCACATTCCAAGGGAGAGTGAGATAAACAGAGGTATAACAGAGAGAGAGAGAGAGAGAGAGAGAGAGATACACGCGCGCGCACACGCACATAGAGTGTATATATATATATGTATAGAGAGAGAGAGAGAGAGAGAGAGAGAGAGAGAGAGAGACAAGCTGTGACACAAACGCAACGATAACTTGGATTCGTATGGTAATGATTATTTGATCGAACGAGAAGGTCGAATTCGAAGCGTCTCGAGGACGAAGAAGAAAAGAAAAGAAAAGGATAAAGGGAAGTGATACCGAAGAATTTATTTCGTAGATCTCCCGTTAGAAAGGATTATCGAAAAATTCGATGCTTCGTTCGCGCTCTATCGGAACATGGACAGAAAAGTTTGCAACAAGAAGATAAGAGAAGAAGCACAAAAAAAAGTCAATGGAAAAAAGCCTCCGTGCTCGTTTTTCATAAGGACGGATTGATTTTTGGTTAAACTTCGCTAGAACGAACTTAGGCGCGCACGGCTAGAAGGAAATGAGTAATAATAAGGTAAGAGTAATTAAGTAGGATTCGGAAAAAGGGAAAATCGTGCTAGGTTGCGTTCTGTACCTTCGTCTCGCCGCCGCCCTCGGTGTAAGGACGAGCGGAGCAGCCGCGGGGGATGGTGTAACAGCGGCCGCGGCGACCGCAGCAGCCGCGGCTGCCGATGGCGCTGCCGCACCCAGCCAGCTCCACGGCATCGCCGGCAACCTGTATCCTGCGTTTGTTCCACGTTTATTCTTTTATTAGTCTCCTTAAATCTCCATCACTTTTTCTTTTCCTTCCCTTTCCTAGTCGATCGTCGATCTCCCTTCGGCCACGACCGTTTGGAAGAGATTCATTCGATCGATACGCGCGAATACGACGCGTGTCACGGTGTTGGTTAGTCGTCGGTAAATACTCGAGATTCGCTTTTCTTTTTTCCCTACCATCGATTTCACCTATTACGATATTTCGCTTCCTCGCCAATAATCCTCGATCCTTAATCCGGGTCGACCTAGATTTTTCCCCCTACTTGTCTCGTGTGACGTGCACCTCTCCCTGTCGAACCGAGTACCTTCGTTCGAGTACGATAGGCTCGCGATTATTCGCAAATAATACGCTCGCGCTTATAGGGGAACTTGGAAAAAGAGAGTCAACGAGATAGTCGAAATTGGGTCTCTTTCGTAAGATAAAAAGAAAAAAAAAATATTCATATCCTCGAAAGGTCTCTACGTAACCGATTGATCTTCCAACGAATCTTTCAATGTCGCAGGATCTGAAAAAGTTTCTTTCTCAATACTTCTGATATTTGATTGATACCGGATACGCTGGCAGTGCTTCTATGGCACTCATCATTTTTATTCTACGTATTTCCTCGCTTCCGTAAGCTTTTCCTTTTCTCGTTCATCCCTCGCGACGACTAAAAATAAAGATCTTTTCCTTTTTCCGATTCGCTTCTGTTCGTGGATAAGCGCCGCCCTCGAGGTGATTCGAATTTCGCGTGCTCCACGTAATTAAGACCGAAACACTGGCCGCGATATGATCCCATCCGTTCGAGCCCGATAAACGTGTCGTGCTTTACGAGGTGCCGTCTTTTTCGCCTAATTTCCGCCACTCCGAGAACTCGCGATACGACTGGAACGTGTATTTCAAAACCTCTTTAAAAAGTTTATGTACCTACATCGTCCGGATATACATACATATCGGCCGATCTTTCTCTTATTTTATTAACGATCTATGATTAAGCCTCGCTAACGATCGTCCGTTTAACGATCGTATCTAACTCCCTCAGAGCAGGCCCAAGAAATACAACCTGTTTGTGTTCCAACGTCCAAATTTATGGACGGAGTAGATGAGTAGAGAACGTAGACGACGAATCATCATCGATAAAGACGAGAGGAAATGATCGCGAGAGAGAAAAGAGGGTTGCCTCGAGTAATTATTATGATCGAATCCAGAGTGCCTAGAGGCTTCGAGACTACGACGGAAGCTACACGCCGAGAAACGGAGAGAAAGAGAATAGAAGGGTGAGGGACGGTAGGAGATGAGAGAGGAGCCTGTACGAAGGGGTCCATGCCAAAGAGAGAGAGAGAGAGAGAGAGAGAGAGAGAGAGAGAGAGAGGTGTGCTCGCTGCCAGGGTTGCTCCGAGCGATCAATAAATGCCGCTGCCAGCATCCACCCCTGCCTGCAACCACCTCGTTGCTCTCCTCCCCTGTCCGTTCATCTTTGTCCTTTCTTCGCAGCCTTCCTTCCATTTCTCTTTCACTCTTTTTCCTATATGCGTTTACCCAAACGCACTCTTCTTTCGTCTACATCCTTCCACTACAAGAGTGAATATGTGCGTTCGCGATCAAGCGCGAAGAGAGAAAATACTTAAAGCGGACATATGTTATGTACATTTATCAATTATGAATAGTAATTGATCTCTATGCGATGCCAATTCTTCGAAGCTACTATGCCAAAAAATATAGCCGGATAATAATTGAAAGACGAACGCGTCGTGTGACGTACACCTATCAGGTTTACAAAAGCAAAGATAGAGAGAAGAAATTTAACGTAATTCTCGATGAATTTATGCACCATCATAAGGCAGATCCTCGAAAGTGGATCGTAGTTGAAAGAAAGTATAAGAGAAGATCGTTACCGGGAGCGCGAAGAACGTTAATCAGAGAAAAAAGAAGAAGAAAAAGAAGAAGAAGAAGCGAGGTCGAACACGTGCGAGACGCTGACTCGTCCAAAAATAAGACTTCCACCTTGGTACGTAACAGCGCAAGGGGAGATATGTTTTTGAAATCGACAATTTTTTTACAATACAGGATATATTTCTTTTCGGCTCTGACGTAATATTAATAAGAATCTAAAGACGCGATCGTCGAAGAAACTAAAAGATATTCGAGTTGAAAAAATAAAGGGAACGAAATGAAAATGAAACTTTCGTCGATTATAACGAGCACTTTTCTAAGCGCTTTTTTCATTCGACGCGAGATAATCTTTTCCTTTAACACGTGAAAAAACTACATCAGTCCCTACACGAAGTCCATCGATCGGCGTCCCATTTTCCACTTTGAACGAGCTAAAACGGCTAGCTGTTGTATTAATTAATAGCTCATCGCGAGCGAAATCGCGCGACAATATATACATTTTATCGAGCATGTAGCAATTTTCGTCGGATAAAAAAATAATTCTCGAGTATCTTAGTTTATGACTAACGCACCGTGTCACGCGATTAATGGATAACAATTAAAAACGGTTCTCAGATAAAAAGTAAAGATCGATGGTAAGTATTAAAAAAGATCGTGCCGCCATGGCAGCCCGCATAGGAAGAGCTATAACAAGATGATAAGATGAACGGAAAAAGAGAAGAAAAAAGAAAAGGTAGAGATAGATAGATAGATAGATAGATAGAGAGTGAGAGAGAGAGAGAGAGAGAGAGAGAGAGAGAGAGAGATAAGAGAAAAACATACATTTTCAAGAAAAATTAAGCGATCTCTTAAAAGGAGGCCAGCATGCTTCTCGTTCTCTTTTATCGTGCCGATGAAAGAGAATCGTTACTCCCATTAAACCTAATAGCAATTAGCCGATATACGATACATACATATGTACGCATCGGACCAATGGAACGAAGAAAAAAAAACAAAATAAAAGAAAAAAGAAAAAGGGAAAAGTAAATAAAGAAGAGAAAATTATGCACAATAAGGACGTATATAGGAGGGTAAAAAGAAAGAAGAAAATAAATAAATAAAAAAAGAAAGAAATGAACGGTTTGAAAAAAAGAAAAAGAAGAAGGAAGGAAGGAAGGAAGGAAGAAAAAAGAAGAAGAAGAAGAAGAAGAAGAAACATAAAATGAAAATGAAGATAATAAGAGTACGAAAGAAGAATAGAAAAGGAGCAAGTACGAAAAAGAACGAGACAGAAAGAGAGGAAAGAGATCGGCCTCAATAAAATCTACTTACATTAGCCTTTCGTAATGTACATACATGTAGGTGCAATTATTGTTAATTGACGTACGACTGCCAGGACGCACGTATCATACGTATGAAATTATAATGTAATAATAATCTATAAATACGTATCTCTATGTAGTTATACATTATATGCGTATTCAATCGCAATTAATTCGTAAATCGTCCGATTAATTACGCAACGAATACGAACGATATAATAACGCATATATGCGTGCGTGCATATATGTATACACATATTCTACGGATACGTATACAGAGAGATGCGCGTATATACACGTGACGCGCGTACTTGCTCGTGCGAGCAGCGCGAACGCGCGCGTCTCATATATACACGCCTGTCGTTATGTCTATATGTACGCTATATACGTATTTTGATACACACACGCGCGCGCGCGCGCCTCTAAATATATATATATATGTGTGTGTGTATATATATATATATATATATATATATATATATATATATATATATGTATATATATATATGCGCGCGCGCGTGTATACGTAAAGAAGAATAGACAAAAATATATTCGAAAAGGATATGTCATACGTCTGCAAAGATATAAGAGACCGCGTACATACATACATATATACATAAGTCATAGGTGAATCTCATATGAAGGCAAGCCAAGGCCACGACATGAGACGTGCAAATTAAAAAAGGTAATAATATTAAAAAAAGAAGCAAGTAAAAAATTCTCTCCCAAAACCGCTCCAACCACAACCAAGCACAACCACAGGCAAGGTACGGGCCTTTGTCAACGAGACAGTCATCAACCAGTGAATATGTGGCGCATTACCGTGATTATATATTGTGTAATAGTAACAATTTAAAAATCTATATAATATACATATATATATATATGCATGTTGAGAGCGAACATATTAGATGAATATACATATGTATATCTATGTAGGTACGTACGTACGTATTTATGTACGTATGTGTTATCTATACACATACATATATACGTATGAGATGCGAAAAGAGAAGAGAGATCAGAGGATGCGGAAGGATAATCGATCGGACGAGAATCGAAAGGAGGGAAAAAAATGATTCGAGTCGAATCGTCCTCACATCCAAGCTATACCGACGCTATTTTCGTAGCGATCACGGCGGAGTCATCGAGCAAGATTTGTTGCGGTATAGGCGATATATTTATATTTTACGCGTACTTTTTGAAGGACCGAAAAAAACTCTGGAATCATTTGTAAATTTCAGATCGAGTGTCGGAGAACTTCTTGAAAAGAAGAGAAACGTTTTAACCTGCTTTCGTCCAACGTTGGCGCGACCGAACGCGTCATGAAAGATTCGACCAAAGGGACCTGTGGAAAACAGAGGATAGGTTTAGTCGGGAAGCGAGAGAGAAAGAACCCATGGGATTGGGATAATGTTCGTCGAGGGTTGCTCGTGTGAGAGGGAACATAGAAAGGCGATGTGGGTTAATGGTAAATACGATAATTAATAAATCATACGAATTATCACATACGAAAATACCTCATGCTTTTACCACTGGACAGAGAGAGCCCTAGACTAAAAGCTACCAGGCGAGATTCTCACAAGGGACTGAGGGTGAATGGTAGAAGGAAAGGGGGAGTCGAAGAGAACGGTACCTGGTAATATGTATAAGATAATATGCTTTTCGACACCGGATCGATCGTTGAAAGATGCCTCGTGTGTCCTTTTCCTTTCCTCTTCCTCGCCCTCTCTCTACTTATCCATCTTTCTATTTGTTTGCTCGCTTCGATACGACGCGAGATTTTGTTACGATCGAGAAAGGAAGGTCGAGACGAGAACGGGAGGAGAAAAAGAGAAAAGACGAGGAAGAACGAGGCGAAAGAAAGAGTGAGAGAAGCTATACGCGCGAATAGGATTCGCGATCGGTTCGTATATATCTTTCCCCGCCCCGTAATCTAGGCGCGCTTCCTTTTCCATGCCCGTGTCTGTTTTCTTTTTTTTTTGTTTTGTTTTGTTTTGTTTTGGTTACTTTGTCGTCAGTGCTGACCTTATTTTATTAACTCCTTTCGGCCCTGTAACTTCTTCTTCCTCCTCGGATTTTGGTCCACAAGCATGTACTTTTTTCTTCCTCTTCCAATTTCGTCTTCTCCGGGAAAAAATCGGCTAAGAGTCGTGCAAATTGTCTTCGATGCCTTCTTTTCTGGCGACGTCGTCGTCCTCTTCTTACAAATCCGTCCGTTAATTTTTCTATCGTTTGTCCTTTTTCCTCCCTCTCGTTATCTCCCTCTTTTACTTTCGTTGATCACTAACGGACGAGGGAACATAGGTGGTTTCTTTTCTTGGAGTTTTTCTTTCTTCTTCTTTTTTTCAAAAAGGAAGAAGCTTCTCGGAGACTCTGGCCGCGTATCATTCGCCATAAAAGAAGTTACTAGCGAATCGCGTGCGTGCGTGCGTGCGTGCCTATTTATTGTACATAGGTAGACGTGTGTGTCTGTGCATATATATATATATATATATATATATATATATATATTCGAATCGATTCGAAATCGGCATCTGCTAATGAGAAAGAATGCGTGAGCACGGTAAGAATGCGGGGATTCTCTTCGTTGGGTCGAGAGGAACGAAACACGTAAGATGCATTCTTAAGAATAGCACGATAGAAAACGTAAGATGAAACGATCTCATGCAAACGGTCTAACGCGAATTCTTTCTGAGAACACACTCGATGCTTTTTCTTTTGTTTTTCATTTCCAAGTCTTTTTTACTTTGATCAAACAAATCGTTCTAATCGGTTATAAGGTTTTCTTTGAAAAAATCGTCACATATTTAATACTATGGGCGAAAACTTGGCGAACGGAATAGCGTTCGTAAGCACCTATTCTGAAGGATAAAACGCGCATGCCATCTTTTCTTACTTCTTCGATCGTCTATCGATCAAAGGTATATACGTATATCGTGTTTCGTACAAGATGGTCTAAGGAGGGATCCTAGCAGCGCTTAGGAAAAGACAATTTTCGGAAATTTCTGCGAAAAAGATCGGTGCAAAAGAAAAAAAAAAAAGGAAAAGAAGGAGAGAGTCAAACTTGGAGAAATGGTTCAAGTTGATATCGTTGGTTATATAGAAAATCATTTTCGATCATTTCGAACGAATTTTGGCGATAAAAAACTCGCGCCTACAATGCGGAAAAAACCGCTAGAAATTCGCTAAAAGTACGATCCCCATCCTGATTTCTTTCTTTTTTTCAAATTCCACAATTTCTCCTTCATTTCGTCATCGTTGCCATCCTCCGTTCATCCTTCTTGACGCTTGAGCAACAAGCATTTCCTTTTTCCTTCGTAATATCTCACAAAGGACCATATGTTTCTTGCAAATCCGTCCATCTTATCCCTTTTGTTCTTGTTCGACATTGCGATTTCTCTTCGATCATTCGTCCTTGAATAATTACCTACTTAAAAATAATTTAACCAAGATTCCCGTACACCATTATACCTCCCCTCCTCTCTCTCCCTCTCAAGTTATAATTAGCTTATCATAATGGAATGCGAGTTGTTTACAATACTCGCTAATAATTTAGTACGTTCTAATAACGCAATAATAGATTAGAAAATACAAAATCGCGAAGAAAAAGCGACCCTCAATCGATAAAGTTGGTATATAATTATTCGATATTAGTGTCGTTATAAAAAGTAAGCAATGGTAATTTTTGTTCTTGGTAATTGCAAGCTATCGAGATAAAAGATATTCTCTAGGAAACTCGAAAATTCGCATAACCCGTACGAAAAAGCGGTCACACCGACGTCTCCGTTTTCTGAAAACATGGCAGCATGTTCGAGCGAATATTGATCAACGATACGTGACGTCGTATCGAAAATGACGTCGTCGTTGCGCTATTTCAATAATGCGTGTATATGTATAAAAAAAAAATATATGTATATATATATGTATGTGCATGTATATATATAATATATACATATATATATATATATAATATACACACACTCCGTCTGTATGAACGCGCGTACTTAAACGAGTACCTATTTAAAAAAAATGTCGCTGTATAATAGCCTATTACAATTTTGTTACATTTAAGCTGCTTCCAAAAATCCTGACGGATCGCGTAATATATCAACAATGTTACTTAATTATAAAAAGAGAATATTTTGGATTTTCTTTCAAACGACTAATGGCAAGGATAAAACGATCTTATCGGACGCTATTGTATTTTCTTTACTTCTCGATAGAAACGTCTCGTTAATCCGCCTTTAATCACTGACCGTATCGTTTACTGCCGCTCCTTTACTGTAATAATTCTTTTAAGAAAAATATGCAAGAAGAGAGATCAAATGAAAAATAGAGTTAGAACCTTTAACGGGAACATATAACCAAGCGAAGAATCGATTGGAACCCAGTACTACACGAGTATGGATATATATATATATATATATATATATGGATATATAATTAAAAAATAAAAACAAATAAAATAAATAAGAAGAGAGAAAGGAGGGTGAAGCGCGATAAAAGAAAAAAGTCGATCGTGTTTCCTTTCTCTTTTCCTGTACTTTTACTACCCCGTCATTGAGGTTCTACGAAATCATTGATAAAAAAAAAGGGAGATTCACCGTGCCGCGGATTATCGCTACGTTTCTACCGCAAAAAAAGTCGACGAAGAAAAAACGAGTAAGTAGATTTCCCCCCACCCTTTTTTCCTCTCTTTGGCTTTTATCTATAACACATATTCGTGGCTGTTTTTTTTTCTTTCTTTTTTTCTTTTTTTTTTTTTTTTTTTTTTTTTTTTTTTGGCTTGGTCGTGGTCTGTGGCGGCTCTGTGTTGTAAACTTTTCTCTTCCCTTCGATCGATATACATATTCTTTTTCTTTCTTTCCCGTTTAGCGATACGAAGAAAACTTTTGTATCATTTCAAGATTCTCTATTTCATATTGTCTTTCGCGATTGCATCTTTTTAGTCACTTGGTTGCGCGAGAAGATTTTTTTCTTATTTTTGTTTTGTGTGCGTGCGTGTGTGTGTGTGTGTGTGTGTGTGCGCGCGTGTGAGTGTTTTCTTTTCGAGTCGTTTTCTACACCGTTCGTCTTTCGTCGTCTCATTAGCGTCGTTGCCTTGTCTTTTTTGTCTATAGGTCGCCTTCACGAAAATCCGTGGCAATTTTCACGGATCTCGTAGTAGAGAATCAGCAGTGCCGACTCGGGCACATCGTGGATGCACCTACCCTCTGGCCATTGTACGCAAACTGCAACAGAAAAGAGTTTATCTCCTTTTATTTTCTCGTTCTCGGTCGTTCTCCCATATCCTACGAGAGTCAACGTTTGCGCGGCGCGTTATCGTCGCGTTCGACACGTTCGACGTATTGGATCGATTAATTGCCATCGAATTCGTGGCAATTTCGAGATCGCGAGGACGAGAGAGCCGCACCGCTGGAAGCTGTCGAGTAGCGTAGCAGCAATAGCTTCGACACGTGGAGGTCGAAGCTGTTCGAGATAATCGTACTATCCTCGATTGATCGTACTATCGCGTGACCCCTAGGCCTTCCGTATCTCCCGTAGCAAAACGACTCGTAATGAAACGGAAGGTGGCGAATTATTCGACTTTTCCGTTCCCCTTTTGTAGAAATTCTAATGGCCTTGTTGTACGATGAGGGCATATCCTACGGATATGCAAGCGAGTCAAATTTTCAATAAGGAAAATTCAAATGGGATCGAAGTGGATCCTCCGGAGGATCCCCGCGAAAGGGTAACAAACAAAAAGGTCGCTCTTTAAACGTCATTAATATGTTCTCGCCGTTAAAAATATCAACACGTCCTACGTCCTAGCGAGCTTTCAATCTCTCTTCCGTCGCGCTCCCTTTTACGGGGGAAAAAGTTCGATCGATAAATTGGACGAATGGTACTATAATTAGATGCCGCGCGGTCCTTTTACGCTATACCTATAGTTGCCACGCATTAGATCTTAAGGGGAGAGAAATAGACGACGGGACTATGGACGATAGAGAGAAGATACTCGAGAGACAATATGATTAACCGTCGATTTATCGTCGCGCAGACAGTGTCAGTCTAGTTAGGAAAAAAGAATTTTCCGTATCGGCGGGACGCACCTTATCGAACGACATTTCGTTGATAAAGGAGCTTCAAAGTACGCGGATAAATCTCCTCAAATTGATTCCGACTATGAGAGAACTATGAGAACGATATCCGGAGTAAAGATCGCATTAATTCCTTCTCGACGGACGAACGATCGAATTTCTATCGCGAATAGGAAAAAGAAAAAAAAAAAAAAAAAAAAAAAAAAAGACGCGTTTATAAGTCGTCGAACGAGAACAAGTCGAATGAGATTATAATTAAACGGTGGACATGTACGAATGAAGAAACACTTGGCAGTGCGACGCCAACGCGATCGTCTAATTATTTATAACGCTGATTAACCTTGCGAGTCGCGTTACGTTCGTAGAGAATACGATAACGGGAGCTTGATATTTATTATTCGGACGACAGTTCATGCAATTTATACAGTTTTGACCTACCGTTGGGTACCGTCGGTGGCTTTTTCGTCTGCACCCTCGCCGTAGCATTGTTCACCTGTCGAGTTTAAAATATTGCATTAGAAATGTTTTTAATCCTTTAGCGGGATGGTCAGTCGTTTCGACTCGCGCGTACCTCGCGACTGAAAAACTATTGGATATCAGAAAGGCATTATTGTTTATCGAATTGAAATAGTTGACGGGCACGCACGAGTCGAATATTAAAAGGAGAAAACCTACGATCGATGCACAAGATCGTAATAGCTCGATGAACACAATGTTATTTCGACGTTAATTATCCGAGCGGGCTTTAACATATAACGGGATTCTCATTATCTTTTTTTCTCTCTCCTGACCTTTTTTGAAAATTAATAAGTAGATCGATGTGCATCGATCCGAGTTCGAACGATACAACAAAAATAACATCCTTCGGTCGCGCGTCGAGTCTCTTCTCGTAAGAGGAAAGAGAAATCAAACTGAAATGAAAAAATTGAAACAGCGCAACGTTTCGTCCGACGTATCCTCGACGCGCGCCGACCGACGCGACGCGAAGCTCTTCCCTTGAATTCAGATAACAGATTCTTTCTTCTTATATTCAAAACGATTTCGAAGATAAAGCGTCTTCCCTATCGCTTACCACGTAAAATCTGATTTCAAGGTACGTTACATTGGCATCGGGGATACACGGAGAACCTGCAACGAAAAGAACCTCTCTTAACCGAATTTCCGACATCGAAAATATATATATATATATATATATATATATATATATATATATGTGTGTGTGTGTGTGTATATATATACATACATATATATATATATACACACACACACACATGTATGTAGGTATACATGTCTGCAGAGCTTCGCGTTTCTTCTATCTTTCTCGAAGAGATAACAAATAAATGGATTTAATCTTAGAATGCGTAAAAAGAGAGGATTAAAAAAGAAGAAGAAGAAAAAAAAAAAAAAAAGAAAGAAAAAGAAACGAAAAAATTCGTCTAATTCAAGGATACGCTTCGAAGTCGGAAAGTTTGCGATCGTCGAATTTAATGTTCGATCGAAAAAGACATCGCGTTGAAAAGCGTAAGGAAATAATAAGAATATTGTTCGAACAGAATCACGATAAAAGGCGAAACTTGAAAACGTTTAAGGTGGAACATTAAATTCGAACGATTCGAATAGAAGCGACGATTTTTGATCTAAGAAGGAGCATCAATCGAGCGAGATATTCGAGTAGAAAAAGTGCCACGATGTAACGTGTGAAAAAGATGAGATACATTCTAGATCGATTATCGGGGAACGAGACGTTTTCGAACGCTTGGGCAGAAGGAGACCGCAATCGCTATTTTCTAGCTAGGATCTTTAACGCGTTTAAATCTTATACAATGGAAGGAAACGGAAGACGATCGCGATGAAAATAATGGAAAGGCCGATTTCGAATCTCGTTAAGGGTACTTTGGTAAATTTCCTGATCTAAAACTAACCGCGCGCTACGGCCTTCCTCGTTGAAGAGAAGGAGGAGCACAAGAGAGCGCAAGACCTCCGGCCGAATTTGACTTGCAAAGTAAGAAAACTCGAGCTTCGTTGAGGTCGTAATGCTAACGTATTCATCGTCGATGCCGGAAGCCGATCTATGTATGCATTTACGAACTGGCCTAGGCTCGTCACTCCCTGCCCCCGACCACCTGCCTCCTTACGATTTTTTCTTATTCGCCAAATAACGACGTTCGTTTCCTCGAATTTCTAACAAAACGTATAAGATAAATCGCACGTCGCACGTTACGATACGAAAAGAATATTTTTACTCGTGTAACCGCTTGGTAGCACCTTACGAGACCGACTTAAACGCGCCGCCTTTCGACGAACCGAACGATGATAATGAACCACGATACGAAAACGAAGCTACTATCTACGTGCCGTCTCGCCGTTCTTGATGCAATGTGTAGGTATCAAAATCTCAACCGATCTCTCCTTTTTGCCAAGCGTTCGAAAGTATTCGAACGAATCGATCGACACTCGCAGCCTTATTCTAACGCGAGTCATGAAAATATTAAAACGAAAGGAAAAAAAAAAAAAAACGGAAGAAAAAGAAAAAAAAATGAAGGAAAAGATTACGAACGGATATTCCAGAGACTCGTTCCTCGCTTTGATTTTTTTTTCTTTTTTGCGAAAAAATGAAGGTGAAGAAAAAAGTATCGTGTGTAAAAAAAAGCACGTGCACGTAGCGTTGCTTTGAAAAAGATCGACCGTTCGATGTATGTACAATTTTGGACTTATCTATGAACGCGTGAGAGAGCGGCCAGTGCGAGCTTATTATAACTATTCTTGTTCGTTTGTTCTTTTTTTCTTTTTTTTTTTTTTTTTTTTTTTTTTTGTCATTACTCTCGTTCGTCTGTTTTATCGTATTTTATCGTCTGCGATAACTTTTTCGAGATTTTGTAAATTTTTCGTATTGTTCCTTACCTTTTTGGACACTTTGCGAGGTTTGATTTTTCAGTAGCCTCCTCAGTGTCCTCGACCGGCGTTCGCCCATTACTCTATTTCTCGATCGATCTATCCTAATATTGCGATCGAACGCGATCGATTTTATCTCTAGTTCGATCTCTCTCTCTCTCTCTCTCTCTCTCTCTCTCTCTCTCTCTCTCTAACTCGCTTTTTCTCTCAAATCTCGCATTTTAACTTTTCTCTTTATTCTTTCCCATCTTTGTTTGTTTCTTTTCTCAAGAGATCTGCGTAACACATAATATTTTTGATTTTTTTTTTCGAATGAGATAAACCTTTTTCATCGGTTTATTCGTAATTTTTTAAATCGTTGCGCTTCCACCCTTTCAACGTCGTCGTAGTCGTCGTCGTCGTCGTCGTCGTCGTCGTCGTCGTCGTCGTCGTCGTCGAAGATATTTCATTTTAACGGCGATATGACAAACGTGGACGTAATAACTGTGGAACTGATTTTATTACTAACATATAATGGCCCCATACTTGACTGTAGTTAAAGTTTAAAAGTCTAATGTGAATCGTCCACGTTGGCGGATCGCCCTACAAAATATTCTCCATTCTCGATATACGGGAACGTTGGAGATACCGATTCGTCCAGATACAGATAACGAATGAGAACGTAATTATTAACGTCGCGGATATATTTAGATTGCCATCGAAGGGATGCGGCTAAAGTCGCGCGAATAATTTGAGACGAACAAGGGGGTGCGAGCGAGAGAGACTCCTCTGCAATGTGCTCCTTTAGGCACCAACGGCTAACCGATCGGACTATTCGATCGATCTAAACCGCCGTTGTTTGATACTAACGCAACGATGGATAGATAGCAGGACGTAGTATACCCTGCACTCCGTGGTCTACCACGTAGCGAGCGATGACAAGTATTCGCTTGATTTCGCGATCAAAGCTCGATGAACGTCGTCGGAGTATCTCCCCTCCCTCCCCCGGTCCCTGCCTCTTTCTTTATCAATTAAACGAGTTTATAAAGGTTATCTCGTAAATCGGTATCTCGCGCGCTCGCTCTTTTACCCTCGACGGAGTTTGAACCACGTACGGAGATCGAGGATTAAAATTGCCGAGACCCTTGAAAATAGTAACGTTTAAACGATCCTTCGATAAACGAACAGATCAAATCCTATTTCCACCGTAAAAAATGATATTCTAGTCGATATCGAGATAGCAATACGGAATTTAGAACTTTGGAAAATTAATTAGAGTTCGAGGAAACCAGTGATAGACTTTTATACAATATAAAAACTATACTCGTAGTACTCGCGGAATATTACGGCGTGTTCGCGCTTAGAGAGCTTGCTGCTGCTCTCTTTTTTTTTTTTGTTCCTTTGGAAGCCCTCGTTCATCCTATAGCTTTTTTAAATCACAAGGTACAACTTCTTCGTCGTCCGTTGTCTGCTCTTTATTGAAACTCGTCACTTTTTTTTTTTTTTTTTTTCGAAAAATCTCATAATTGCATCTCGCGTGGATCGCAAACTACGTCGAAAGTATTTCGAAAACGACGAGAGGACTTTCAAGAGAAATCGTTCGTCGTCGAGATAACGAGAACGTATTCTCTCGGAAACGTATTCGTCGCATCGAAAATTGCAACTTGGTACGCTCTAACGTGCCTTCTAAATCCTCTTAAAAACTATCTTTTACAACTAGAAAAATTATTCACGAGTGTCCTTTGAGTTTACAAAAAATCTAAAATGTTATACGATAAGGACGATCGCGAATGAGAAAAGAACGAAAACGATCATTTTTTTTCTTACGATCCCTTTCGTTCCTTACCTCTGTCTTCTATTATCATTCTTTCTCTTTCATCCTTTCTCTCTCTCTCTCTCTCTCTCTCTCTCTCTCTCTCTCTCTCTTCCTCTCGCACTATCACTCTTTTTCTCTTTCTCTCTCTCTCTCTCTCTCTCTCAGCCCTTTCTTACTCCATCTCACACTCACGACTCTCTCGTATCGCGTCGAATGATTGGGAAAAATCGAACCACGATCGATTCGACTACGTAGACAAGGAAAAATTTATATTTGAAAGAAAAAAAAGAAAAAAGAGGATGAAGAAAATCATTCAACGCGATTTTGAAACGAAAAAAACGGCAAAAACGATCGTAGACGGTTTCGATCGTATTTCTCGTCTTTTCTCGAAACATTCGAAAGCGCGCGAACGTTCGAATCTGTAAAACGCTATAAACGCGCGCTTTCCAGTGTTTCTCGATTCCTGAAAACAAAGATACACTTTATGCCAAATTCGAAGGCGATACGCGTACGAATATATGCACGTATATAAATGTATACTTATATGATTATATATATATATATATATATATATATATATATATACTTCGTGTGTTTGTGCGCGTGTAATATATATAAATATATATAAATAAATATATATATATATATTATACAATGTAGATATAAAATTTTCTGTATGTATGTATTGTATAAGTATAAGAAAGTTCATGCACACCTCAATCTTTCTGCCCTCAACCACGGTGCCGTGTAGCCTCTCACGTGCCCGGTCCGCGTCAGCACTATTTGCGAATGTTACAAAACCGAATCCCTGCATGCAAGGACAGACAAAACAACATGCATTAAACTCAACTTACAGACTGCCAGCGCTTCGCAAGTAGCCGACTGGCTGGCTCGACATTTCGTACTTTTGCGTATCTTTCCTTTTTTATCTTATCACTCCACGTGCATATCTCTATCTCATAAAGGGACTTATAAATATTCGGCCTACCGCCGATTTTAAATATTCGAGTGACCATCGAAGATACTGAAAGATCGAAATGTCGAAATACCAGCGGAGATCTGCGAGCGCCTCATACTGCTTACGGAGACGCACCAAACAACGTGCAACAAATAAGTAAATGTAAAATCATGGTAAAAAATCATGGTCATGGTCACATTAATCATCTCATTGTCATATCATACCATATCATATAATCATATCGTATCGTGTCATGTCATTGTGATAATCGTCATATCGTTTGAGTAACAGATTCTTCCTTGTACCGAGCGGGGGTGCGTGTACCAGAGAAAGAAATGATAAAAAAAAAAAAAAAAAAAAAAAAAAAAAGTGAGGCAAAGGTAGGTTATCACCAGGATGATAATTTTTGGACGATGATCTAGGCAGGAAAAGAACAGAGATGCTGGCAAACGGCGCGTTAAACGATATACTTTACGCCATTTCGTATGTGTATTCTATAAATTCGATCGATCGATTTTGATCTGACTATATATCGGATGAAAATAGCAATAAAGTTTGGAAGCGAAGGAAAAGGAAAATCGATCTCGACACGCTCACACCGCGTTCGTAAATGGGTCGGGCGAAGCAACGAAAGATTGATCTTTGATTTTTCTAATTTCCTTATCTCGACCTTATCTCGAGGAAGGAGCAAAAAAAGAAGAGAAAAAAAAAGTAAAGATAAGAAGGAAAAAGGTACAAAAATAAAGTCGATAAATTCCTTTTTCCTATAATGTTGGACGTAGGTTAGACGTCCGAAATAGAAAAGTCTTTTCGCGCTTGTAGCCTTAAAAGGAAATAGGACGTCGTGTAGCGAGGCTGATCCTACCGAACGTAGGTCCCTTCTTCCCATGGGAATAGAACACGGCGGAGAGAGAGAGAGAGAGAGAGAGAGAGAGAGGGTGGGAGGAGGAAGAGAAAGGGGAGAGTCCGAGATAATCGACTTTCCTCCTCCTAACGGACAGCCGGCCAAGGACGCGCCGATATCGCGAGATGTTTACTCCTACCTTCGACGAATCCTATTAAATTCAACGAATCGAGACGCAGCTTCCTTGCTCTCTCTCTCCCTCTCCCTCTCTCTCTCTCTCTCTCTCTCTCTCTGTTTCTCTCCGAGACGAACGGCGAGGGTTGCGCAAAGTAATTTTTCCAATTGGAGAAATGGTAGGAAGAAGAATAAGAAGCAAAATGATGGGTAAAACGTTAAAAGTTACCTTGACCGGCATCTCGCGAAACCGATAATAATCGATATTTTTGAACGTCGAAACGGTAGCGCTTCGTGACGACGTCACGACATTCACGCTCCGTGATTACATACTTTATATATTCCATGCATAATAAACGAGCACGCTTTTTCTCACGCCCGCATCTATGATATAATAACAATTTCCCGAGAATTTAAACAAAGTTGTGCCTAGAATCTTTCCTTTACATTGTATCCCTGTCGATATCAATGGAAAATCAATGGTCGCGAACCTTTTGAAAGTATTTTTGAAGAAAGAAAAAGAAAGAGTCGAAGGAAAATAATGATAATTCCGGGTAGTTTTTTCTTTTTTTTTTTTTTCCTCAAATTTGCATCGACGTTGTATATACACGGACCTCGTTGTCGTGCTTCGCCATCGCTTTAACGTCGGACCTTTTTTCACGGCTATTTTCTAGCCCCTACTGCGACCAGCGAGATAAAGCCTTTCTCTTTCTCTTCTTCCAGGCAGCCGCATTTTGTACGTCAAGAGGTAGAAAAGCTCTCGTGACGGGAGATCGAGCGCGATTCGAGAACCTCCTTTAAAGGTCTTATCGGTCTTTGGAAAATTGCGGCTCGTGGTGGGTGGTACCGGCATATCCTTGAGAAAATCCAAGAGAAAATCAATCTACGGCGCTTCTTCGGCACGCTCCACTCTCCGAACGATTAAACATACACCGATCCATTCCGTTGGTTTTTTTAAACGCGATCATTTTCAAAGAGCTAACGACGCTTTGGCGCGCCCATGAGCGCCTTTGGCAGAAACTCGGAAAGGAGCGATACTCGCGTCTTAATTATCACTATTATTATTATTATTATTATTATTATTATTATTATTATTATGATTATTATTATTATTATTACTATTATTTCCGCCACGTATGATCGCCATCTTGCACGCCATCTTGTCCACACCCGCGCACTTTGAAAACTAGAAAACGTCGTCTTATGAATTTTTTATCACTCCCCGTAACGTGCGTGCGGCAAACTTTGATAAATATTTCCTCGGACCATGCGACGACGACCATCTGATTCGTCGAGCTTAGATTGCATTCGAAAGCGTGGCCTCGCCAATAAATAACGACGTAAAGGTGTTGCGATGAAAAATAGAAAAAACGTTGGGAGACGTTGGGGGTAGAGAGAGAGAGAGAGAGAGAGAGAGAGATGTAGGGAGGCGGGGAGATTCTTCCCGTTGTAAAAAAAGAAAAAGAAAAGGTCGAGAAAACATTCTGTTGCCGCACCCACACGAAATGAGTATTAACTATCGATAGAAAAATGCAGGCCTGGGCGCGAGTTTCGTTCGATCGTATCGCTCCATTTTCTCAGAGTCAATTCCGCGATAAAATCAAAGGAACACGGAATTTTAAAATTGTATTTCTAATCTTGCCTAACCTTTCTTTTTCCTCTCCACAAAATTAAAACGTTCGAAATTAAAACGCGTGTCTATAAGTACTTAACACTCGCTTATTGTAATAATACTTCGTAAAGCAGATACGAGATTTCTTTTTTCTGCGGATAAAATGGGACTATTATATCGTGTCGGATCGTCCGCAGTCGTTCTTGAGACGATTAATTGCTACCCCAACCGTGATCGATTACCAGACGTTTTCTCCAACAAAGTAGAAAAGGTCCGACTACAGATCAGGCACAGCAATTCTCTCCTTCTCAAGCCCCCTCCATTCTACTGCACGTTATACATATACGTACGTATGTTTGAATATAACAATCGTTCATACATACATACATACATACATACATACATATATACATATATATATAAAATATATATATGTATGTATTATATACGTGATTATACATAAAGACTACCGCATATTAAATGAAATTAATCAATGTTACAACAACGATTTTTCTCTATCGTCGCCGGACATACGGGCTCTCATTGCCTCACTACTAACGAATTCATTCCGTTTAAAAGAAGAAAGCGAATAGTTACACGCATGTGGTAAATATGACTGCTCATGCAAGCTCGGGTGAAACGATAAATAAGTACGTACGTACGTAAGTAGGTAAGTAATTAAGTAAGTAAGTAGGTAGGTAAGTGAGTGAGTAAGTAATAAAGTAACGATAAAGTAACGATGTCGATGTAATAATAATGATAGTAATAATGTAGTAATAATAATGACGACGACGACGACGACGACGACGACGATGATAATGATCATAATAATAATAATAATAATAATAATAATAATAATAATAATAATAATAATAATAATAATAATAATAATAATAATAATAATAATACTGGTAAGAAAAGAGAAACAAATGTCGACACATCCGGCGTGCAGGTACTCGAGGTATTCGTCAAAGTTCATCCTCCTACGTAAGTTGAGGATGAAAAAAAAGCGAAATAGCGATAATAAAAGATAAAAAATGTGAAAGAAAAAAATGGAAAGAAGGAAGAAAAAAAATAAAGGTAGAATAAAAGAAGAATAGGTACAAAGAGCGTAATAAATTTATAACCAGAGAGCGAAAAAATTGCAGTTGCACACTGCGGCACACACACATATATATATATATATATATATATATATCTGTTGCACCAGTGCCCGAGATAGGAGGAAAAAGGTCTCGGCATTCGTAACGCAATACAACAAAGTACCAACGTTAATAAACATTCCTTATCGACCGAACGAATGATTAGCGTAGGGATTAAATTGCCAGAGATCCGACGTATCGCGGAAAACGGGACATTGTCGTATGCCTTTGTTTTTTCTTTTACTCGTTATTCTTATATCCTGCAATAGAAAGATCGTAAACAGAGTCCATCGATGACACGCGTGGCCGATGCTAAACGATCGCTTATATACGTATATGCGCATGTATACGTATATAACGAAACCGTGAGAAAAGGTAGCATCGACGATTACTTACAATTGGATTAATCTTTAATTAATCTGAAGAGCCATTATATTTACTGTTATTATTACTATTATTATAATTACGATTATTATTACTGTTATTGTCACAATTACTACAACTACTACCAGCATCAACGAAGCCAATGACAAGTGACTCGGTATCGCGAACGCTCGTTGTTATCGATTAGCTCCTGCTACTACAAAAATTTCCTATTATTTCTCTTCGTTTGCTGTCAACCTCATCTGCCCGCCCCCTCCCTCAACCCTTTATCTTGCACGCACTCACTTACTCATTCATTCACTCTCTCTCTCTTTTTCTCTCTCCCTCTCTCTCTCTCTCTCTCTCTCTCTCTCTCTGCGTACGAAGAAACCTTATTGAGCGCGATTAACTTTGAACAGAAATTAAAAGAAAGGAATCCAGCGAGCGAGCAAATTTCTTTTACCGCGAGAGACGCGCGCGTGCGTATGCGTGTCCGTATATCCGCGCTTAGACGTAAGAGCGTGGCGAATAACAATAATTACCCAATTAATTAACAGTGAGGTGCGAAACATAGCAAGACAGAATAAAAAGATATTAACACTACTTTCGCGTCGACCGGGTGTGTGAGCGTGTGCGTGTGTTTCAGAAGAGACAACTATATTCAATGAACAATCAAGTCAAACAATTAATCAACCGTGTTGTTATGTAAGTATAGATATTATATGCGCTATACAGTGAGTGCTAAACACGGCAGGAGAATATTTGGAAAATGAAAAGTGGAAGAGAAAGGGGGGAGGGGCGAGGAGAGGGAAGAAATAGTGAAAGAGCTTGAAACGTCGATGTGCTTTCTCGTTGTATAAGAGGATCCAATATTTTCTCTCTTTTCTTTTTCCTTTCTTGGTTGGGGCGCGATCGTCGAACCATACCGTTGTTGATACGTATCAAAGAAGAAAGAAACGACGGAGAAAAGGAAAAGTATTGCACGGACTTGAACGGAGTACGTGTCGATGTTTCTTATTTATTTTATATTTTACCTCTTTCTCTCTTATTACTCCTTTTTTAGTAAAGTAATACTCTACTGGAGTGTCGTACGCGACGCGAAAAAATGAAGAGAAACGTCATCCGGTACGATCGCGCGCGAACAATTCCCGTTACTAAATTCGATCGTTACCTTTCGCGAATTTGCGCATGGCTCTCTTTTAAAGGACGGAAAGTAAAATATGGAAGGAGTATTTTCATTCGAAAAATGGATGAAATAAAAAGAGCAGGAAATTGAAAAGTACTCGAAGTAGTGTGACCGAAGCTGCCAAACAACGATATAAAAGCGCACAAAACAATACGAGAGATTCAAGATTATATATATTAGTGTATGTCTATATATACACATACACGAGAGAGCGCGGGCGAGAGAGAGAGAGAAAGAGTGAAAGAAAGAGAGAGAGAGAGAGAGAGAGAGAGAGAGAGAGAGAGAGAGAGAGAGAGGAGGAAGGAGAACCAAAAGCGAGAAAAGAAGAAGGACCAACGAGATTAAAAGTATAAACTTCTTTGTGAACGTTGTAGATATTTCTCTTTTTTCTTCTTCCCTTCTTTCTTTCGCTCATCTTACTCACTCCTCTCTCTCTCCCTCTCTTTCTCTCTCTCTCTCTCTCTCTCTATCTCTCTCTCTCCCTCTCTCCTTGTGTCCGTTCTCCTTTCTTTTTGTCCTTTAATAAATATATCGTAGAGGATACTATAATGTGTGTCGAATGAGGGAAATTCAGAGTTTCGAGAACATTTTCTTTGGCCGTTTCCTCGAGTTTCGTAGATGCGGATATAAGTGGCAACGATAACGACAATGTTTTTCAAGATCGGACGAGGATCCAAGCGAAGAAGATGGAGCCTTACGAATCTTTCGAAGGAGGATTCGAGAGAATATAATAATGCGATCCGCCGAACGACGGTGAAATCGAAAGCAGCGTTCTCTATTCTAAGACACATACGTGATTGTTAAAAAAGAAAAAGAAAACAAAAGGAAAAGAAAAAAGAATATGGGAGAAAAAAAAATAAAAGCATTGGCCTCTCATTATACCTTCCACTCACCTATAAAAAAGCGTGCGACTACTATTTACATATAATAATAGTAATAATATAATAATAATGATGATTGTAACAATCAAATATGGAGATACCTTTCGTATTATAACGTGTATATGCGCGCATATCTATGCGACGAGTATAGTGCGCGTGTAAATATATATATAATTGTATATATACATATATATATATATATATATATATATATACATATATACATATATACATATATACATATATATATATATATGAGTCTTGGTAAATGCAGTATATCATGTATGTACGTATCATGCTGGTCACGTTGCAAGTGGATTAGTCGAGGCTCGGCGATCGCGATGGAAAAGGAAAAGAAAAAAATATGGAGCGAGGAAATTGAAAAATTGAAACACTTGGTCGATCCGCACACTTGAAAACGAAGATATTACTATTTCCTTTCTGTCGTCTATTTATTTTCTCTCGTCCTTCGTACTTTGGATCCAACGACAATTTCTCGAAACTCGTAAGGATCGGGCTCGAGAATATCGGAATTCGTGGATTCGGAGAAATAGAATTGATAATACAAGTGCGACAAAGTTTCATCAAATCAAATGGGCAGCATCTCCCGAGAATTTTTCCTTCACGAGCGGAAGTGACCGCTCGACCGGAATCGCCAGATTTGTACGTAATAGCTCGTTCGAAAGTTATACGTTCGAAAGTTATTCTCTTTCATAAAGTTACGATAGTACTCTTCGCGCTTCTCTTTCGTTTTTTACATTTTTTACCTTACGAACGAGCATATCGTACGAGGCGCTACGATCGATTCTATCAAGTATAACCAATGGGAACTAAATAACGATAAAATGCGGAAGGCTAGCTAGTAAAAATGCAACAGCTCGTCTAACAACTACGAGAGAACTAACGCCATTGGTTATATACTATATATATACGTATGTATATATATATATATATATATATATATGTATATGCGCGTGTGCGTGTACGTGTCACTAGGGCACATACGCAAAGACGAGAGAGAGAGAGAGAGAGAGAGAGAGAGGGAGAGAGAGAGAAAGCAAGGGCGACAGGCAAGGCTTCTCCTCTTCGTTCTTTTCGTTTCTTCTCCAGTTCGATTCGGAATAAATGAAAACGAATAAAAAGGACGATGCTCTTTCTCTCTCTTTCGATCCCGTCGCACTCGCTCTCTATGCTTTTTCCCTCTTCGAAGATATGTCTTTTTTATTTCTTTTTACAAAATGCTGCGCTTCATTAGGGATGCCACATTCCATTTACATTGACGAAGCTTTCGAAAAAATGTCCTTCTTTCTCTTTCTCGTTCCCTCACTCTTGGCGCACGCACACAGACAGAGAAAACACGCAAACAGCCAAGCACACGCGCAAACGTACGATCTTTCTGTCTCTCCCTCTCTTTCTCGCTACCTTTCGTACTTTCGTGTAAACTCCGACACTCTTAAAAATACAAAATGTCTTATCCTCCTAGCCTTTGTAAAATCCAAGAGTATATATCATTAGGTAATATAATTGTTAAAAAATAGTATAATAATTTAGTTTCAACGTTCGATCGATCGTGCATTTTACAAAGGCGAAATTCTATAGAAATATAAATGATTGAAATACGTAAAAACGTATGTCGTAAGATGCGATGGCAACGCTCTCTTAAAGACGAAAGAAATTGCGCTTAGCCGGATTACCAGCTGTCGTTATAGTCGTCGAAAAGTCGTCGAAATCGATCCAAGAATTAAGAGTTAAGAGGCTAACGCGTAAGAGGAAACGAAATGTTTCTCTATAGTTAGGTAGAGAACGATCGAGCGGGAAGATAAGGGCGGACCGGTTGCACGAGAATTTAATTAATCTCCCCACCATCCGAGAGAACTTCCTGAGAGAGAGAGAGAGAGAGAGAGAGAGAGAGGCGGAACGTGGAAGTGGACCACTTTGCGTTCAATATTCGCTTTGGTGATTGGTCGTTAGGAGTACGGACGTACCCTGCTTTCGGACTTCCTGTTCGAGACAGTCGCGCGTCGCTCCGACGGAAGCTTATTCGAGCATTACTCGGCTATTTAATCTACGGCTAATAAGTATGATTGCCTTTTCTAAACTTCCGATTTGCTTAATCTTCTCTAGTTTTGCTGCCCCGAGGGAGATACGATAAAAGGGATTTCGACGCTACGATCAAACTAAACTTGGGATGGTTTTACGTCGTTTATCAAACGGACGTCCTCGTCCCCGTGGGACGCCATTTCGCGCGAGAAAATCGAGTTCGACCTAGAGGGAGGAAGGAACAGACGGAGGAAGAGAAAGAGCACGGTAGATCATTTTCCTACACTCGCCCGAGATTAAATTCGTCCACCGAACGGTAGAAGACGCAATAATAATAATAATAATAATAATAATAATAATAATAATAATAATAATAATAATAATAATAATCGTAAGCTAAAGCGAAGAGAAGACGAATTTAGAAAGTGAGCTTTGCACGATTTGTTACAAGTTTTCTCTCGACAGGAAGGAATAGAAAAGGAGAGAGAGAGAGGGGGAGAGCAGGGCTGGTCGCGTGAGTGGCACGATTACAACTGCAAACGAACGATCAAAATAATAAGAGGCGCGTTTAAGAGTTACAAGCAAATATTACTTTCGTGACTATTCATAATCCAAGGCGATTTGTCCTATCGTCGGGCCGCACTCGGCTTTTTCCACTGTGTGCTCTAGTGGAATACTACCAGAACGTAACGCGTGATCGAACGAGAGGAAAATCTGAAAAGAAAGTAGCGATCGCGCAGGATCGATAGGGAAAAATTCAAAAGACCGCGAATCGATCGGCAAGGACGAGACCTCGCTTCTACCGCGTCCGAGTAAACCAACCGAACTCTCGTTGATGAAGTACACTCGTGTGTACTTGACGCAAAGACGCTGAGTATGCAGGCTCACCGGATGCCGCCTGTCGGCACGATCTATTACTGCGGGATCTTATCCAGACCTCTGTCATCCATATTGAAAGCTATTTACATAACGTTTCCCCGGCACTATGCGAAACCCCCTTTCGTTCTCCCTTCGATCTTCTCTTACTCGCCGCCGTCGTTGGCCGTCGTTGGACGTACCTAACAGCTACCCACACTCTATATATCGCTTTTACCCAACTACCGATTTTTAAAAAAGCTCGACTATCGAGCGACGAGAGCGTTGCCAGCGCGCTGAAAAAAAAAGGAGAATGAGCAGCAAGGAGGTGCAGGGCCGCGAGCTTTTTTTCCTTTCTCTCTTCCTAACGGGAGAGACTTTGAGATCGAAGAATGAAAAACTTGGGTCGCGGCGCTGCACCTTTTTATCAAAACGTCGATCGATCATCTCTAATCGCCAGCGATCCAAAAGGAGAATAAAGCGCCGACTTTGAAGAAAACATCTCCAAAGTCGAGCGTGTGAAACGTGTCTGTACGAAAATGAGAGTAATCGCTTTGTGAGAGGGTAAAGAGATTGATCGATCGATCGATCGATCGATCGACCGACGTCGTCGCCGCCGCCGCCGCCGCTGCCGCTGCCGCGAGTTCTCCTCTTGATAAACAACAAACGATAGAATTAAATGTCCGAGGACGGGTTGAAAGGGGTGGCTCGCAGCCTATAGATCGACGTGAGCTTACCTTGCTTCCTCTCTCGTTAAAAATGATTTCCACGTCGAGGATCGGGCCGAATTGCTGAAACATACACGTAGTAGAAGAAGAAGAGGAAGAAGATGAAGAAGAAGAAGAAACAAAGAAAAGTAGGAATAATAAGGGGAAAGGTAGGAGGAAGGGGGGAAGGACGTTTAGCTCGAACACTCACCCCGAACATCGCCCTTAAATCGGGGTCTCGGAAACGAAAGGGTATATTGCTGACGTGTAGGCGCTTAGGCTGGCCCTTGAGATCCGTGGCCTGCGTCACGGTAGCCGGTGTTGTCGCGCCTGAGGTCACCGGTACGAGAGATCCAGCTTCGACGGCTCCCTCCGGGCTCGTCTCATTTCCTCCCTGAGTGGTAGCGGCTTGTTGTCCACCTCCGCTCGCGGCCGCCGCAGCCGCCGCAGCCACCGCCGCCTGAAACACCTCCGACTATTCGGAGATAAACGTACTCCTCTTTTATCGGCTCTTGGATCGGTGGTCCCCGGCGATCCCTAAATCGCACCATCGATCTTATTTACTATTATTGCATTTGTGCCGACGTAATAATAATACGCGCCGAACGGAACAAGTTATTAACTCTTCTTACGTTCGAGCAAAGTCAGATTTGGCGAACGTATGTTGTACGGCTATAAGTGTATTGTACGTCGTCGAGCTTATCGCGCTAGGACTACCATAACGAGCGTAACACGCGCTCCGACTAGTTTAGGGTTAGGCCGCAAGCCGCCGTTCAAGAGAATATCAAACGACGAGTTTGCGTATAACGTTTGCGATAATATCTAAAATCCCATTCGGATATATGCTCGGTAGAGTACTATAACACGATAGATAACTATATACGTAGATTATTATCGTACGGAAGGAACGTAATAAACTGTAGGAACGCGGCTAGTTGTGATGTGAGAGAGGAAGGCGACGCGAGAGCGTGCTTCGTTGAACGAAAGAGCAAAACCTAAGAGTATATAATTTTTAAAAGGGCCAAGCCTCCTAGGCTAGGAGCGATATCGTTCGACTCGGACTACCGCATATGTCATTTCGAAAGCTGCTCGTAAAGAAACTGGTGTCGTACAAATACCGGGGAATCGAGGGACATCCTTTACCATTACGTACGTTGGGCATACGTGCGAGGAATAATGCGAATGATAAAGACACGCCGTGTATTCGTGTCGAGCTATATAGATGATTCGAACGAGCTATATAGAGGCTTTCTCGAAGCTCGTCGAACGGTAAATTCATTTTTCGTTCGTCGGATAGAGGCAGAGTAAATGTAATTAAGTAAGGAATAGAAGCTATCATCGTCGTTGCCGCTTATCGCGTCGTTCGGCATACTTTCTCCAATCTCATTGAAAAATCTCCTCGATGGGTCTCGATTGGTTGAAGGGAGAGGGAAAGCGAGTCGATACTCACGATCGCTTGCTGATCGACGCCGTTCGGCGGCGGAGGTGGGCTGAAACTGGCTGCCGTTGGTGCCCCCGGTGCCGAAGGATGGGGTCCGCTTGTCGGTGCCGATACCTGGGCTCCACTTGGTGGTGCCTGCTGGCCCGCTCCGCTGTTGTCCTCCTTCACCGGCACAGGCGGGGGTGGTTTCACCTCGCCCGCCGTCCCGGCCGCCCCAACGACGCCCGCGACACCGTTTACCGGTGGTGGGAAGACACCCCCACCGTACGGCGCAGCCATTCCTGTCTGCACCATGTGCTGCAATCGACAAATTTCTCGATTAAAACGTTTATTATTGTTCTTTTGATTACGGCGTTAGGATAACGCCAAAGGATCACGATTAGTAGAATCTACTCGCGTAAGATCGTCTTACGCCGTGACCGTCACTCAAGACACGAGACTTTTGGCGAGCTTCCATTGGCGAGCTTACGTTAGAGCTCACGCCTAACAACGAATAAATATCGACGTTTTTTTTTTATTTTCCTCTTCTTCTTCTTCTTCTTCTCCTTCTTCTTCCACGAGTAGTACGAGAGAAACGCCATATACCAGAAAATCTTTCACAAAGATATCTGAAAAGGTCCGACCTTTCGCTTTCTCTCTAAATTTCTTTAGGTACACATGTACGACCGCGCCCCGTCGTTCGTCGTTTCTCTTCTCTCGTTTGCAAATAATTCTCGTACATCGACGTCGACGATCTCGGCTCTTTTCACTTTGCGCTTCTCCCTCGGGAAAGAAGCGTTACGATCGTGCCTGGAAAATCGCTCTTTAAATAGACGCTCTAGCAGGGAAGTACTCGTTGGAATAAATTAGTCGCGATAAATCACCGTAAGGTCGCGAGCTTCCGTGACTTTTTTCTCTCTCTCTCCCTCACATTTGCGTATCTCGCGCGTATATAGCTTTGTACTATCCTTTTAATTTTCTCTCTCTCTCTCTCTCGCTCTCTCTCTCTCTCGTTATGATCGAAGGTGTATATAGCACGAGGAAATAGAAGAGCAATTTGTTACTTTTGTCAAATGTTCTCGCAGCGCGCGACTACTTTCAGACGTGGATTAACAAGAAGCACGTTCGCCTAAACGAGATTAGAAGGACGACGGACACATATCGTTCGTCTTATATTATCACCGGCTATCCGCTTGGTCGCACACAGAAGAGAAACCGCAGACATTTGCGAGTATGCAAATTGGCATAGAAGGCAAATAAATTTAGAGGGTGTGCTCGGTGCGTTTCGTCGTGACGAGTGAAAAAGGAAGAAAGAGACGAACGTTCCATTTGCAGGGAGCAGCGATGATTTTCGCGTTGCCGTTGTCCCTGCAGCATCCGTGTGCGTCGCGGAATTAAATAATTGAGATGGTTAGCACGCATACGTCACCCTTTCATGCACGCACTGTGCGCGTGTGTGCGCGTCCGCGCGTCACATGAAAAACGATTGGAAAGACGAAATACGCGATGGCACATTTGCGATTGATCGAGTGCCATCGAAAACTCATTTCGTCGTTTACCATATAGTCGATCGCTCGTAATCGTCGATAAATTATTCTAGAATTCACGAGTGAAAACAATTTACGAGGAACGTTAACGATCTCGCGCATCCTCCTCCTTGTAATCGGTCTAACGTTGTAGATTTTATTGAAGCGGCCGAACGGGAAGAGCGGATGGTTCGAAAGATTAACAACGGCCACGCTAGTTTTGAATATCTCGGAGCATCTGGCACGCGATAAAACTCGGCGCTTTCGCGGCGGAGCGAACGATACAAAGGTCGTACGCGACTTTTATCCTTGACTTTCCGCGAATGTACACATATTCTTTTTTATTTCCTCTCGTTGCCTCGCGACAGAATGAACAATTCGATCTTAGATACGCGACTTTATCGGGGAACGTAAAAAAAAAAAGAAGATAATGGCGTTTGCGAGAAAAAAGAGAAGGTATATATATATATATATCACCGACTCGTTTTCTTGAACAAAGGAGAAGGGGATCGAATAATACGAAATGGTATCAATGGATGGCTCGCTGCCAATGAGTGCCAGCAGAGTCAATGACGACGAATCCTCCTCCATTCGTAGCTGGATCGCCGCCGAGGAACTATGCAGAGGATACGCTTTCCGAGTTTTCGTCAACGTTGATTATTATCCGTTCTATCTCGATTGGAAGATCCAACGCACGTCGGAGAATCAACGGCCGAGCGGGAGAAGGGAAAAACGATCGAATTCAAACGGGAATGAAGAAAATCCATGTTGATCCGCTTATTAAAGTAGCGCCGCTTTCAGCGACCCGATTACATTTATTATTCATCATGCTTTGGTTGTTCTACGCAGCATTTATTCGTACCTGTCCGACAACGGATACTCGCTTCGGCGGAACCGAATATCTCGGTTCGAGTCGAATCGAGCGAGAAGGAGCTATTCAATTTTTTTTTCTTCATCTTTTCTTCCTCTTTTACGAATCCTTTTACGAATCCCTCGGAGCGTGGACGTTCTTTCGAGTATTTACGGGGTTAAGAGGAACAAAAAAAGAAAAGTCCGCCCACACGAAAAGCCGTGTAAAAATAGACGCAAAGATATCTAATTATTTCTTCCCGGCGGAAGGCTAGATAATTTTTCTTTTTCTTTTCTCTTCGACTAAGGTAAGAGAAAAGAAAGTATAAGTGGGCGGAGGGTAAAAAGAAGCAAAACCGCCGTATCGAAAATCGTCGAGAAATTAATTTGACGTAAATTGGTCTTATCTTACGAGGCTGTGCCTCAATTCAACCGTTCCAACGGAAAGGGAATTTTGCGAAACGGTACCAACGATAATTCACCCGATTACGCGAATAGCCTAGTCGTTTAACGATCCTCTCGGCCACGAACGATTATCGCAATTTCGTCGTCGAGATCCTCATAAATTCACTCGGTAAAAAGAAAAAAGACACGACGACGACGACGACGACGACGACGACGACGACGACGACGGTTTCCTTCCGGGGCGAGGGAGAGCGCGCACGAGAGAAGAAACGTCGACGTAATAAGAGATTTTGAAGCCGAGCCAACGGAAAAACCGACAACTATTAATAACTCTCCTAATATGAAATCATTCGATCTTAATCACGGTCTCTCACGGAGAAAGACTCACACGGACCGAGTTTTCCCAATAGAATTTAAAGGAAATTAATATTGTCGGCTCTAAGGGAAAGCGAACGATTTATCGAGATCGAACGAGGAGCGAACGGTCTTCTTCTAGCTCCTTATTACTTATGACGAATCTGAGCAATTTTTGTTCCCATCCCGTATATGCCCTTTTTTTTACTTTTCGTCCGTCTCTCCCATTGCTAAAGAAGAGAAAGGCTCTTTGAAAACGATTCGAGACATCAGCTTACCCGGTTCGAGTCCCGTCGCCCCGTTAGCTCCCCCTTATTACGAAGGGATTACCCTCGTCCAGCAGCCCTCCATCGCAGGATCATTACTCTCGCTTCTACGGGCGTCTAATCGCTCCGGCTCTTTCTTATCTTTTCGCTTTTCCCGTAAAATAATAATAATAATAATAATAATAATAATAATAATAATAATATATAAAGAGAATTTAAAGCGTTACAGTCCAACGCTCTTGTTCCTTCTAACCGACTGCGCTCGCGCGCGGATAGAAAGAAGAGCCCCGAAGTTTTATTTGTCCAAAGGCTCCTTTTCGCAGGACCGTTAGTACGAAGCGGTGGAACGAAGGGATCGTAGACGGATTTTGGCACGGAGCCATCCTCTCGGGCACAAAGGCCCACGCTACTCGAACCGTTTCTGCCTGCCTGCGAGGGGTCATAAAGGCTGCTGCCTTCTTTCCCCCTACCAATTCGTACTATCCGAGCTACTCTATAGCGACCGTAACCTCCAAAACGTGCATCATCCTTCGAAGCATCCGAGAAATTCTTTCCTAGTCGAATTTGGATGCTTCGTTGCGCGCGTCTCGTCGACTTTCACTACACCAACCTTGTCTACAGCCGATCGAAACCGATCTTGCGGGTTGCCCTGAAAAACCGCAGCCTGTCATTCGGTCGGTCGAATCGAGATATGAAATATTACTCGTTCCGTCCTATCGCCTCTATACGCGTATACGCATCGTAGAGATATATATCTATCTATTTGCGTAGACGAGGCTTGATACCTTACAATTTGCAAAACCTTACGATCAAAGGAAAACGCTTTGACGACGCGACTTCTAGGCGGCTTCTAAGCTGGGAAAAAAAAAAGAAAGTAATACGCGCGCACGATCGCGTTCCTTCTCTAGATGGTATACACCACGGAGACGCCTACCGTCTAGCGGCCACGACGCGCTAGCCGCCATGGATTAATGTGTGTAGACTCGCGATGCGTGTCGTGACGTCACTTCCGGCCAATCAAAAACCATCAACGCTACGATCGCGACGGCAGCATCGAGCCCCGTTGTTGGCGGCTAGCCGGCGACATCGACATCGACACCGACGTCGACGTCGACGTCGACGTCGACGATAATGATGATCGCGCTAACGTTCACCATAGCGACGCGTTAATTCGTCGAATTTCCATTCTTCGAGGCTTCATTGCGTCGTTACGTTATACCAGAGAAAAATAAATATTAGAAAATTCTCGTTTGACGTTTTAAATGTTCTTAAAAATAATGAAGACCGCCGTCCTATCGAAATTTATCGAAAGTACAAAAACAATCTCAGTCGTGCGGGCTTAATCGGTCTACCATTACAGATCGTTGAAGAGAAAAAGAAATTAGTTAAAATAAAAAGACCTAGTGTCGAGGCAGATCCGAGCGCTTCTGACGTCGTTACACCCAATTAGTTTCGTTAACGGCCTTCAGGAATTATTGAGTACGAACGATGCGCTAAGAGTTTTCTGTTTTTCTGACTGGGAAAGATGTAGACGCGATCCAGACGCAACCACAAAAGGGGAGATAGACAAAAGCATCGGGGGAAAAAAGAAAAAGAATTGGAAAGAAGTCGAACATGGTAGAGAAGAGAATGCCAGGAGGCTCTCTCTCTCTCTCTCTCTCTCTCTTTCTCTCTACTCGAGACGTCGAGCATGGCAGTCGTCGACGACAAAAGTTTGAATTATTCATAGACGACGCGCGGCTTCCGATTGGTCCTTAGTTCAGGAGAAATTCATCGCGCGCATGCGCCCCGCTCGAAGCATTTTAATGACTTACGCTTATTCCGTGCGCGTGGCGTGGATCGAGGCGATCCCGCATATGAGACAAAAAAATCGTGCAAATCTGTTGAAAGATATGATCGACGATCAGTGGAAACGGCA